TTTTCAAACAATTCTATTGAAAAATCATAAAAATACCGAATATTGGAAGGTGTCGTTATATGTGGGATAAACGATATCGTGGACCTATATAGGGGATAAAGAACTCTCAAAGAACTCCTTGTGTAGAATTTTAGACAATTCCATTGTGGCTCAAATCATCAAAATACAGAATATCGGGGTTGCCGTTATATGGGGGCTATACGATATCGTGGACAGACCTGCCTGTGGAAAAAAGACAGATCTTTGCAAAATTTTAGTTTCCTATCTTAATTCCTTTTGACTGTAGCGTGATTACAACAGACGGACGGACGAGAAGGGCTAAATCGTCTTAAAATTTTACTTTGATCAAGAATATATATACTTTGTTTGGTCTAAAATTATTTTATGGATGATTTAAAACGGGATGACAAACTTTATATACCCTCCACACTATATATGGATCGCGACTAAGTTCAGCCGGAAATCAAAAAAAAAAAAAATGTAGAAAAGTACCGTTTAAACGAAAACCGTTATTTGGAGGCTGTACGAAGACAAGGACCTGCATGGGTATTTTTTTTTTGTCATAGGTACATATGTGTAGTACCGATTCCGAAATTCAAATACGAAATTTTAAGGTATATCGGTGAATAGTGTCAATAATATCATCAAAATACCGAATATTAGGAGTTATTGTCATATGGGGACTTTATGACATTGCCTATTGGCAAAATAAACATGTGTGAAATAATTTTAGTCTTCTATCTCAATACTTTCGAAAGATAGCGTGTTTACAACAGATAGACGGACATTGCTAAATCGACATATCATTTTACGCTGATCAAGAATATACGTACATTTGTTGGGTCTGGCATGGGTATTTCGAGGAGTAACAAACGGGGCAGTCAAACAAATTAAAAAGTATCAGTCGATTTTCCCACAGATGAATACCCTCTTGACCTTCTTCGACTATATCGACAACTTCCTTCACTTAATATGAGATATATGACAATGTTATAAGAGATATACTTATTTAAAATTGTGACCTTTGTTTGGGAAGCACCAAAAAATGGACCGATATCTGCTGAAGAATCTTAATGGATTAACATTTACTATTTTAAGTTCGAAGTCGGTAGAAAACACAGGAACATACAGGAACAGGTCACGAAAATAAATTAGAATTTTAATATCAAAATGGGGAAATTAATTTATTTTAACTTCGAAGATGTTGTCGGATATCTTCGTACATTTATAACTGATTACATTTCTTTTAATAGCTTTGAATGTTTCATTCAACTTTCAACGACAATCTTCAAAATTGTCTTAGATCAGTTATTTTGACGTTACCACTTAATTGATTTTATGCGATTCTATTTATTGAACGGAACGTATAACCTGTATACATACATGTATGTATACATATGTGTTTCAAATGGAAGTCGTGACAAGCGCTTGCTAGGCTGATTACTTATATTTATTTTTAATTTCAATTAACAGGTGAAATGTTTTTTTAATAATAAATTTCAAATTCTATTCTTTGACTACAAACTACAAATGAGATATATTCGTATAATTACTTTAAAAGTGAATATTTATTGATAATCAGCATATTTCACGTGAACTGATGTTACACGAACTGTGGTCATTTTGAAGCAAGAAATAAGCAGAAAAAAGTAAGCAGGAAATGGGCTTCCGTTAAAAGTTCATAACATGTGCAAATTGATGATACACTTTTAAAGATTTGATAAAACATATATTTAAAAAACTCTTAAGTAGAGCATAAAGAAAACCAAATTGTAGAAAAATGTCATAAATATATTAAAATGCCATAAATATATTAAGAAATCAATGGCCCACTGTAACGTATAATGACACAACTCTATTGCTGGAAATATTGGTATATAACCACTTAAAAACTTAACAAATCAAATTTAAGCGTCAGATTTTTTTACCAAATTGTAAAGGTAATTTAAAAATTTTTCTAAATTTGGTTTCAGTTGTTAAGTGATCTTTGATAAAATACCGAACTAAATTTATATTAGCAGACCTTGTCACGATTTTCTTTTAATATCCAACTTTTCAAAGAAAAAAAAAAACATGTGTAAATAATTGCAAAGTGCTGAGTATAACAGTCTGTTTTTGTATGTCAAAACGAATGTGAGTTCGAAAGAAAAATATCATTCCAAATGAGTTTTTATACCCTACAACACTATGTGACACCTCGAAATATTGGTTTCCCACATAGGAAAGTATATATGGATCCTCCTATCTCGCCGAGCTGAGTCGATCTAGCTATGTATGTCCATCCGTCCCTCTATCCATGTTAATTTGTAAACACTCTACAGGTCCGATCTTCACGGTATTTAAAATGGAGATGGGGCTAGGACCAGAATAGAGTTTTTGCAGATGATTGCTTAATATTTAGGGGTTGAAATGGACCTCAAACTGAACAATTTCCTGATTTTGCAGTTGCTCTATATGTCGCAATGTATATGTCGAAGCGGAAGCTAACATGGGGCTAGAGCTTAGGGCTGGGCAGAAGCATTCCAATTTGGATGGTTATCGGGTAATATTTAGTGGGTGAAAAAGACCACAAAATTTGTATTAAATAAAAGTCAAATGTTCCATTAAACCACGAATATTTTTAATCCCGACGAAATCAAAAATATACGAAGAGGACAAACCTGACCGCTACGTAGATACCGATAGTAAATATATCGGATATATAGAATGTGTATATATAAAGGAAGTAAGTTAGTTAGAATGCTTATATCTTAAAAATGGCTGGACCGATTTTGACAAATTTTGTCATTTCAGAACGCCCTCTTGTCATAAAAGAATAAAATCTAAAAAATTGCAAAAAAAGCCAATAATGATGTTAATAAAGATTTTGTAGTATTTTGTGACATTTTTTTATATTTTTTATCGCATGCGATTTTTTCAATCAGGCTTATAATATTGAAGTGTATATTTTGTAATATTTTATTTTTACCTTACAACACAGGTTGGAGTTATTATATGCAAATTCAAATATCGTCCGATCCTCACGAAAATTTTTATAAGGTTAGGGTAGGCTCAATGATGTCCGCAATATATTTAGGGGTTGAAATGGACTAAAAATGTTGCTGATTTTGCAGCCGTTATAAAGATCACAAATAGAAACCAAACACGAAATCTCACATGAAGTTAGAGTTTAGGACAACGAGTAGAATGGACCACTACTTTTGTGTAAAAAATTACCAGCATTACTTATAGGCGATATCCGAAGTACAAAAAAGGCGAACTTCTGTCTTTTTTAGGCTGATTTCGTTGACGAATATAGCCAAATATCGTAGACAAGCAAATCATATAAATGAGTCTAAATTTGGAGATACAGAGGGGTCTCTTGCGTTTGGAGATGATCGCAAGATATTTAGGGATTTAAATCAACCAAAAACAGAAAAAAATCCTGATTACACAATTGAAGCCAATCGACTCGCCTGAGAAGAGAGTTAAGAACAGGGAAGAATTCTAGCAGTTTGGATGACCATTGGATTATATTGAGCTGTAAAATGGACCACAACAACTAACAGCACGACGGAGTGCGTCTCTGGTCAAAATATCAAATATAATCAAAAGCGAAATCTTCCAAAATGGATTTGGACATAAGTGGGCTTCTAACATATTGTAGTGTTGTAGGATATCACTAGGTCGGCCCCGCACGACTATAGCCATGGCTTACTTGTTTTTTTTTTAATAAAATTCTTCTCTATGTGATATCTATAGCAATATATAACTGCTCTAAAGCTAAATGTTGATAGGCGGTATGATCTACTTCAAATAAATAAAAATTATTTTGTTACGGAAAAAAAAGTATTTTGTTACGGAAACTCTACTAAATATACATAGTGGTGTAGGTTATCATATAGTCGGCCCCGCTCGACTTTTGACTTTTCCTTACTGGTATAAGTTAGTGTTGCAAATAAGATAATAGCTAAAAATTCACCCTTTAGAAGGGTTTTTACTTCTTAAAGACCTTATAAAGTTTTCTCTGTTTAAAAAGTCTTTTTCAGGTAGAAAGTATCTCCCCTCTAAGATCTCCAAAATGTCTTGCTTATCCTTAAGGCCAATAGAAAACAAAATGGTTTCGCATTCTTGATATTAAAAAAATATTAAACACTAAAACAGACCTCCTGTGTCAAGAAGATCATAATGTGATATTCTCTCTAGAAAACCCACCACTCGCCATATAGTAAAAAGATCTTTCTAGCACGCAGAGCTGAGCTGATCATGCTAATTTGTAATCGGTCGCAGTTCCGATCTGAATTTCATGGAAATAAAAAGGAAAAATTCTTGATTTTGCATAACTTATCGACCAATTGAAGGTGAGATGGACGATAAATTTTGTCTAAAAATATAAACGGGAAGTCCAGCAGCGTATTATTGTAATGCTTTAAGTCATCTTTTATTGTTGTCGATTTCGTTGACGTATATAGTCAAAAAAATAAGTTGTAGTAAAATATATACAAATTCACTTGTACACTTGTTTATACGCTATTCTCGGTCTTCAACTCCTGTCTTGAAGTCCTTTATATATCATAAAGATAGTCAATAGCTACATATGAGTCTTTCGTAGAACAAACAAGAAATCCACATCAAACTCTGCAAAATCATAAAAAATCGTAAAAAGATTGATATAAAATTATTCAAACGTTCTGGAATCAATATAGCGTCTCCAATCAGCCATAATCGACTGAAACTTTAAAAGCTTTGTAACTAGCCACTGCCGTCGTTACACAACTGCAGTGACCAACCGACAATCCTTGCGAAATAAATAGTGAAATTACACAATTGAACTTTATCTAAACGATTATAGCATTTGCTACGATAATATACTCTTCTTATATAATACATATTTTTCTCCAAATGTAAATAACAAATATTATTACTAACAACAACAACAAGAACACCAACACAACATTTTATCACATCTCATTGCAATTTGTTGGCACTGGAGTCTCTATATAAAGATGCTTTGAAGATGTTCGAACATCCAGTGTTACTGCGAATAGCAAGATGAAGCTTCAATCGGCAGCAGCAGCAGCACACTTTATTGGCACAACACTTGTTGTACTCGCCCTAGTCACAAATGGAAAGGCCCAACTTTACAATCCAACTAATATACGAGAATCCCTTGGGGATATTATTCAAGGACTGGGTTCAGAGATAATAAGGGAAATACCAACGCCAGAGGAGCTGCTTTATACCTCAATACAAGTGTTAGTTGGTTTGCCTGAGCAAACCGTCTCTTCAATTATCAATCGGGCATGTAAGTTGAGAGAAGTTTGAAATAGATATAAAATTGGAATTAGAAATTGTTAAATTGAAATTTTTGTTTAAGGTTCGCTTTATTTGGCTTCGGGGGCGATAAATCTCCGTATCACTCCGAGTGCTGAGGAGATGTATTTTCAGTTGAGAGCTCCTTGTAAGAATGTTAGTGTGCCTTTGTTGCATCCCGAGGAACTGATCAATGTTCCGGAGTTTGATGTTAACAAAAAGGTTGTTATTTTTGTCAGTGGCTGGGGTAGTGATGGCAATTCATCGACATATATTCAAGATTTTGCCAATGCCTATAATTGTCGTGGTGGCTATAATTTTCTGGTAAGTAGATTTCTGTTGGTAACACATCTATACGAAAATGATATATATCTGTAGGAAAAGTGTGATAAACTTTGTAACTTGTTTGCAATTCCAAGTGGAGGTTAAAGTACTCGGTGAGTAACAAAAAACCCCAAATGGCTCTTGAGCTCTCAGTTCAAACTTTTAAGGGCATTTATATGTTTATAGCCTAGTCGTGCGGGCCCTACCATGTGATACCCTATAACACTAAAATATGGTAGAAGTCCCCTTATATCCAAATCCATTTAGGAAGATTTCGCTTTTGAAATTATGTCATAGAGCACTGCCCAGATATTACCCTTAGCTTTCTGGTCAGGGATATTTGTCCAATATTTACGCACTCTGTTGTGCTGTTAGTTACAACTAAATATAGAATTCTTCCCTGTCCTTAACTCTCTTCTCATGCCAAATTCCATGTCCATCGGTTTCAATTGTGTGATCAAGAAAATGTTTCTGTTTTTGATTCAATTGAACCCCTAAATATTTTTCGATCATCTCCAAAAGTAAGAGGCCCCTCTGTATCTCCAAATGTAGACTCATCTATATGATTTGCTTGTCTACGTTATTTGGCATAAAAAACCAGAAGTTTCCTTTTTGTGTATTTTGGATTTCGACTATATGCTATTATCAGCGTTTCAGTAGAATAAAAATGTTGGTATTTTTCATGCTCTAACTTCATGCGAGATTTCGTGTCCTTTTGGTTCTATTTGTGACCTTTATAATGGTTGCAAAATCAGAAAATTTTTAGTTAGTCCATTTCAACCCCTTTATATCATGCGGATATCTTTAAAAACAATAGGCCTAGCCCTTCTTAGCCTAACCCTACACTTATGAAAATTTTGGTGGGGGTCGGACGATAATTGCAATCTGCATATAATGCCGCAACCTGTGTTGTAAGGTGAAAAAATATTATTAAATGTACACTTCAATATTGTAAGTCAAATTGAAAAAATCGTATGCGATAAAAAATATGAAATCATAAAAAATTACAAAATACTACAAAATCTATATTAACATCATTATTGGCATATTTTTATGCGATTTTTTAGATTTTACACTTTTATGCCAAGAGAGCATTCTGAATTGACAAAATTTGTCAAAATCCGTCCAGCCATTCTTGAGATATAAGCATTCTAGCTAACATCCCCTTCCTTTGTATATACACATTGTATATATTTCGCTACATATATCCGATATATTTACCATCGGCATCTAGGTGACGGTCAGAATTGACCTTTTCGTCTATTTGTGATTTCGCCGGGATTAAAAATATTCGTGGTTTATGGAAAATTTGTCTTTTATTGAAGTCAAATGGTATGGTCTATTTCACCCACTAAATATTACCCAATGTCCATCAAAATTGGAAGGCCTCCGCCAAGCCCTAAGCCCCAGCCCCATGCTAACTCTCGCGTCGATTGGTCTAGAATTGCGATCTGTAGAGCACCTGCAAAATCAAAAAAATTTTCAGTTTTTGATCCATTTCAACCCCTAAATATTATGCGATAATCTCCAAGCTATAGCCTTCTATTCTGACCATAACCCGACCTCCATTTTCAAATTCGAGAGAATCGGGCCATAATTGCGACCTGTAGCTTAATTATAAATTAACATGAACAGATGGACGGACATACATAGCTAGATCAACTCAGCTCGGCGAGATAAGAAGATCCGTAAATACTTTCCTATATGGGAAACTAATATTTCGAGGTGTTACATAATTGTTGGTTCAATCAAATTTATAATACCCCCAACATATAGTGTTTTAGGGTAAAAAAAATAGCGAAAATACTCCTTTTTGACATGCTGGAGGGTTAAAATTTTCTACCAAAATATTTCTCGTAGTTTTATCAACAATATTGCCGAAGACACTATATACCTATATACCGAGGAATCTTAATCTGAAAACTTTAAAAAGTGTTGAAGAAGGGTGGGGGCTTAAATATTCGCCATTAAATTAATTCGCTTACTTTCCTTTCAGTATTTAAATACATTCGATTTCATTCAAACCATCTACACTTGGTCGGCCTTCAATACTGAAGAGATTGGCAACATTGTCGCTGAAAGTCTTGTTAAACTGACTGAATTCATACCCGTGGAGAATATTCAATTGATAGGTCACAGTTTGGGTGGAGAAATTGTTGGTCAAGTTGGGCGCCATTTTAAACAATTAACCGGACAATTGTTGCCACGCATTACCGGCTTGGATCCGGCCAAGCCTTGCTATAACAAAGGAGAACGTCTGTCGGTTATTTCACGGGGAGATGCTTTATTCGTTGACATCATTCACTCAAATCCTGGCGTTTTGGGTAAGGCACAATCTTTGGGAGATGCTGATTTCTATCCCGGTGGAAAGGATCCTATTAAACCAGGATGTGTGCAATTCGGGTGCTCTCATGAACGTTCGATTCGTTATTACATTGAAACGGTTTATCCTGGAAATGAGCGGAATTTCTTGGCAAAACGTTGTAATTCTTTGGCCAGTTTGAATGGTGGTCGTTGTCGAGGACCTGAATATCCGCTGGGATTTGCTGTGCCCCATGATTTGGTTGGTGATTATTATTTGAATGTGAATGCTGATCAGCCGTATGGCAAAAAAGCTTCAGCTGATGCAACTGTCCAACCAAATCAATGTGGGCTTTGTGAGAGCCAATAAAATGTGGAAAGTTGTGACATATTTTATCAGTCTAACAAAATATTAAATATATGCACACAAACATTATATACATAGCACCTGCACCGAATGATTTAGAGCACTTGTTAACTACATGTTTAAAATTATTGTTATAATATATTCTAATAACGAAACGTTTTATCTTAATTTTTTATAAATTTAATTCTTTATTTAGTTGGATTTTTAAGAATTTTTAAGGATAATTAACATGGATTTTTTAAAGAATTTTTAAGGATGATAAACTTGGATTTTGTAAAGGATTTTTTAAGAACAATAGTCTTGGATTTTTTTAAGAATTGTTCAAGGATAACAAATGTCGATTTTTGAAAGAGTTTTTTCGAGGATTATATACCTTGATTTTATGAAGATTTTGTCAGGATAACTTTGGTATTTAAGCATTTTCAAGGATAATAAACGTGGATTTAAAGAATTTTTAGGTATAATAAAAGTGGATTTTTAAAGATTTTTTAAGGATAATAATAAACTTGGATTTTAAAAAGAATTTTTCAAGGACAATAAACTTGGATTTTTTGAGGAATTTTTCAAGGACAATAAACTTGGATTTTTTGAAGAATTTTTCCAGGACAATAAACTTGTATTTTTTGAAGAATTTTTCAAGGACAATAAATTTTGTAAATAATATTTCAAGAATAACAAACCTTTGAAGGATAATGAATGTGGATTTTTTAATTCTTTTCAAGGGTAATATTTCTTCAAATATAAAACATTTTCAAGGTTTGGTTTTTTTAAGTATTTCCAAGGATAATAAACGTGGATTTTTAAATCATTTTTCAAAATATTTTTCAAGGATTATAAACGTGGATTTTTAAATCATTTTTCAAAATATTTTTCAAGGATTATAAACGTGGATTTTTAAATCATTTTTCAAAATATTTTTCAAGAATTTTTTAATAATTTTTAAAAGTATTGTTCAAGGATTTCAAACGTGGATTTTTAAATAATTTTTAAAAATATTTTTCAAGAATTTTTAATAATTTTTAAAAGTATTGTTCAAGGATTTCAAACGTGGATTTTTAAATAATTTTTAAAAATATTTTTCAAGAATTTTTAATAATTTTTAAAAGTATTGTTCAAGGATTTCAAACGTGGATTTTTAAATAATTTTTAAAAATATTTTTCAAGGATTACAAACGTGGATTTTTAAATAATTTTTAAAAATATTTTTCAAGAATTTTTTAATAATTTTTAAAAGTATTGTTAAGGATTTCAAACGTGGATTTTTAAATAATTTTAAAAAATATTTTTCAAAGATTACAAACGTGGATTTTTAAATAATTTTAAAAAATATTTTTCAAAGATTACAAACGTGGATTTTTAAATAATTTTAAAAAATATTTTTCAAAGATTACAAACGTGGATTTTTAAATAATTTTAAAAAATATTTTTCAAAGATTACAAACGTGGATTTTTAAATAATTTTAAAAATATTTTTGAAAGATTACAAACGTGGATTTTTAAATAATTTTAAAAAATATTTTTCAAAGATTACAAACGTGGATTTTTAAATAATTTTAAAAAATATTTTTCAAAGATTACAAACGTGGATTTTTAAATAATTTTAAAAAATATTTTTCAAAGATTACAAACGTGGATTTTTAAATAATTTTAAAAAAATATTTTTCAAAGATTACAAACGTGGATTTTTAAATAATTTTAAAAAAATATTTTTCAAAAATTACAAATGTGGATTTTTAAATAATTTTAAAAAAATATTTTTCAAAAATTACAAACGTGGATTTTTAAATAATTTTAAAAAAATATTTTTCAAAAATTACAAATGTGGATTTTTAAATAATTTTAAAAAAATATTTTTCAAAGATTACAAACGTGGATTTTTAAACAATTTTTAACAAAGTAACAAATGAGAAATTTTGAATGTTTTTCCAAGGATAATTTACGAAATTTTTGGTTCATGAATTTCTAAGAATTATAAATGTGGATTTTCAAAACAATAAAAAAGGCTTAAGCATAATATGTATATAATTTTTTTCATGAAAAATAAATATGGGTTTTGATACCCTACAATGGGATGTGAATTTGGAACCTGCAAACAAATTGAGCTTGGAAGGAAGTATGCCAATATAGCTATAGATCCCATATATAATGTTCATCCTATTTGTTATAATATGAACTCCATAATAACTTTATTCGGGAAAAGATAACAAATATAGCTCAGAAAGACCCTGTTAAATTTTATCAAAATCAGTTCAGATTTTAATATAGCTCCCATACATATTTTTATTTGATTTCAGGTTTATTGTGCACTAAATGATTATTATCAGCCTAGAATTTGTCGTTTCTTTACTGGTTTAAAAGTTTTTCTATGACAACGAAAAAAAAGTGAAAAAGCAGTAAGTTCGGCCGGGCCGAACTTGGAATACTCTCCATCATTTGGAACGAATTTGGACATTTTCAAAAAATGAAATCCGTTAAAAATTCTGTTAAAATCCTAAAAATACCGAATACAGCCGTTATATTGGGGTCTATACGACGAGGATCTACATAGGCTTTGTTGTCATAAGCCATTACCATATTCATATTCGAAATATGAAATAAACGGTTAATAATGTAGCTAAAATCATCAAAATATCGTGTATAGGGAGGTACCTTTATATCGGAGCTACGCGAAGACGTGGACCTGCATAGACAATTTTCTATTACAGGCTGTACCTTCCATTACGAACTTCAAATACGACATCTTAAACAATTTGAGTGTGAGTATTGTACCTAACATCGTCAAAATATCGAATATAGAGAGGTACTGAAATATGGGGCTTATATGAAGACCTGGCCCTGCATAGACAATTTTCTGTCACAGACTGCAGTTCCCATTACGAACTCTAAATACGTAATTTGAAACTACTCCGGTGAGTAATGTCGCTAAAATCATCAAAATACCGAATATAGGGAGGTACAATTGTATGGGGACTATATGAAGACGTGGACCTGTCTTAGGCTTTAGTATCCATTACGAACTTCAAATACCAAATTTGAAACAATACCGCTGAATAATGTCGCTAAAAACATCAAAATACCGAATATCGGGAGGTACCATTATATATGAAGACGTGGACCTGCACAGACAATTTTCTGTCGTAGTCTATAGTATCTGTTTCGAATTTTAAATACCACTTTTGAAACAATTCCAGTGAATAATGTCCCTAAAATGATCAAAATACCGAATATAGGGAGGTACCGTTATATAGGGGCTATATGAAAACGTGGACTTATATGGCCCATTTACGAACTTAACCTGGCAAAATAAACAGGTGTGCAAAATGTAAGCCTTCTATCACAATTCGTTCGAAAGATAGCGTGATTACAAGAGACGGACAGACAGCCAGACGGATCAAGAATATATATACTTTGTTGGGTCTGACGTGAGTATTTCGAGGAGTTACAAACGGAATGACAAAGTTAATATACCCTCCATAGTATGGTGACGGGTATAATGTTTAAGTATTATTTCAGGACAAGAAATATCCTGGAGCTGGAGCCAAAATGTACTTAATAAACCAATTATATGGTAATGACATTTTTTGCTGGGTGAAAATATTGAAATTTTCCTGGTGTGTACAAATATAAATACATACATCAATGTACCATTGTCATAAGCTGCGTAGTGGAATAGATAGCGTGAGTTCTTAAAATCGAAATTTATCTTAGTGTTTATTCAATTTCATCATTCGTTTCGAACAATGAGCCTTTTCTATAAATAATTGTTGCTTTCAGAAGAAGGTAACAATTATAAATTTTGTATAATATCTGACTCAAATCTGGTAACTTAATTTCCTATATAAATATGCTTTAAAATTATTCAAAAAATCCAGTTGTAACGGGAATATCGAAATGAAGCTACGTTTAAAATTAAACACATGTATTCGAGTAATATTAATCGGAATGTGTGCAATGACCCCAAATATATGGGGCCAATCTGTGGATTATAACTCCTTAGGCCAATCAGCTGCTAGCATGATTCAAGGATCAGGCTCACAGGGATCAAAAACAATACCCACACCCAATCAGTTATTTTCTATGCCAATGCAGTATTTATTTGGTTTTCCAGAACAAGTGATGTTTGGTGTTCTCAATAAGGCATGTAAGTAAATACAAAGACATATTCTTTATGTTTTTTTAGAAGACATTTTCTTTTTAAATTTTTGATATTTTCTACATTCCTAAGGTTCCCTTATTTTGGCATCAAATATAAAAAACGTGTTCATCACACCCAAGGCCGAGAAAATGTATTACCAATTGAGAACCCCCTGTAAAAGCATAAATGTTCCCCTACAACAACCTGAAGAACTTGTTAATCTTCCCGAATTTGATGTGGATAAAAAAGTTATCATGTTTCTCAGTGGCTGGGCTACCAAAGGCAATGAAAGTCACATTCAGGAATTGGCCAATGCCTATAATTGTCGTGGTGATTATAATTTTGTGGTAAGTTGATAACAAAATTCGCACACATATTTCCTTACATTATACAACCAACATGACGCGGCAGTTTAAGAATTGTAGCATGAGATTTTAATCCCTGACTTATTAAGTTTAAATTTCGAACAAGTAAAAATGCCGTTGGTATGGTCTGGCCCAAACATTTTATTTCCTTCAGCGTAGAAGGACATAAATTGTAGACAAATTGGTTGGCTTCGAAATCTTTAAAAACTAGGATTCCCGTGTCTAAAGCAATTGGATCTTAAAATTTTTTTTGTTAAAACAAAATGTGAGTTTTTTAAGAATGTTTTTCAAGGAGCGCCAGACTAAACGAGGATCTTGTAAAAATGTTTTATATTTTATATATTTTTATCCCATGATAATCAGACCACTTATTTTTTTTTAAAGAATGCTTTGTTTAAGGATGATCAGATCTTTAAAAGTAGATCTTTTGGTAATATTTTTTAATGGATAATTAGACCACAAAACGTGGATTTGATAAGGATATTTTTCAAGTGCCATCAGAGCACTAAATCTGTATTTTTGGATAATATTTATTTTTGGTATCATTATATACCAATAGTTGCAGTCGCAAAAAAAATTAAGACAAAAATAAATTTTTCCAAAAAAAAAAAAAAAAAAAAAAATCTGTCGTAGTCTGCAGTATCCATTACGAACTTAAAATGTGAAACCTGAAAAAATCGGTGAAAAATGTAGGTAAAATCATCAAAATACGGAAAATAGGAAGATACCATTATATGGGGGATATACCAAAACGTGGACCTGCAAAGACAATTTTCTGTCATAGGCTGTAGTATCCATAACAAACTTCAAATATCAAACTTGAAACAATTCCGGTTAAAAATGTCCCTAAAATCATCAAAATACCGAATATTGGGAGGCACTGTTTTATGAGGGCTATACAAAGACGTGGACCGGCACAGACAATTTTCTGTCATAGGTTGTAGTATCTATAACAAACTTCAAATACCAAATTTGAAACAATTCCGGTTAATAATGTCCCTAAAATCATCAAAATACCGAATATTGGCGGGTACCGTTATATGAGGGCTATGGACAAAACATGTTGGATAGTGCTAACCATTTACAGTTACTTTACAATTGGCAGCATATTTGAAAAAAAAAGGACCAATTATTCCTCTAGCCCTTAACCATACGAAACTGTGAAATTTTCTGATGCATTGGTAGCTGTTGCAAGGTCCGTTAGGAGAAATTCCTCGCCCTAAGATTATCTTCCTTTTTTCGAAAAATTGTCGATTTGAGAGTGAAAATTAGCCAGAAGCATTGCAAAAGCAGATCCGTTACGATAAATTCCGAATTTGATTTTCACTCCCAACTTTTATGACGCTCGGCTTAAATTCTTGCACAATCTCTATTTTTAAAAATCCTTACGCAAAATTTCCCACGTTTTTGAGTAACAGAGGCCCAATAAAACTGTGATATTTTCGTGGACCCTTGGATGTACCGTTATATGGTGACTATATCAATATATTATATGGGGGCGATACCAAAACGTGGACCGACATTAACCATATTTTGTACAAATGGTCCTGCATCCCATAGATATTTATGTTTTGTTTTTGCTGGTGTTATTTTTCATTTTTTCCATACCATTTAGAAATTAATTACCCTTAATATATCCTACTTTCAGTATTTGAATGTTGCTGATACCATCGAAACGCTATACATATGGTCCTCTTATAATACAGCAGAAATTGGCAACCTCGTAGCAGATAGTCTTCGGAAATTCACAGAAACTGTACCCGTGGAGAATATCCATTTAATTGGCCTTAGTTTTGGCGCCCACGTTGTAGGGGCTGTGGGACGAAAATATAAAGAATTAACTGGCCAGTCGTTGCCACGTATCACGGGTTTAGATCCAGCTAATCCATGTTTTAATAAAGGTCAAGCCGTATCGAGTCTATCACGTGATGATGCCGCATTTGTTGATATAATTCATACCAATCCTGGTGCCTTGGGTAAAGCAGATTCGTTGGGTCATGTGGATTTCTATGTCGGCGGCAAAGGAGCCATTCAACCTGGATGTTTGCAGTTTAGTTGCTCTCATTTACGTTCCGTTGATTATTATATTGAAAGTGTTTATCCCGGTAATGAGGGTAATTTTATGGCGAAACGTTGTGATTCGATGCAGAGTTTCAATGGTGGTCTCTGTGATGGACCCGATCATCCAATGGGATATTCAACACCACTCGATGCGGAGGGAGATCATTATTTGAATGTCAATCTTCAGCGACCATATGGAATAAATGCTCCAGCCAATGCAATGGACCACTCAAGTCACTGTGGTCTTTGTAGTAGTTAATAGGGGTTGGAAATGTCATATATGTCCCTCAATTATAAATTAATTATTAATTTTTTGTAAATAAAACTGTGCAGATAAAAATTTTGATTATGAAGTTTGCAACGAGTATTTATATTATTTAAATTTTTTAAAGAGAACCTGTATTTAATAAGAAAACTAAATTAAAGCGAACTAAGTTAAATTCCTTTAGAAAATGTGGTAAAAAACTTCGTTCATGAAATCGGCCGACACCGTTACTTGGGGTCGATAAAGTGGACGGATTTCGGAAAAATAGTACCGATTTGAAGTACTCAACGGGGACTCCAAACAGTATACTAACGTTACTTTTTTTTGGGAAATGCTACAAAAACCTTTAAAGTTCCTGAGAAGAGTTGTATGAGGGCTATAGCAAAACGTGGATCGAAATGAAATTTTTTTGATGATCTCAATTATTATAGTCAAAACCTTCAAAGTACGGCATACCCTTTGCTTTGCCTATACCTTAAATACCTTAATTTTATCTTACTAAAAAGAGCCAACCTAAGTTCGCTGATCCGGAACTCCAGACCCGCAAACAAACAATCAAAGAAGAAAATGCGAAGAGTTTGCCCACGCACACACACATCGTTCGTAATAGTGGCATGGTGTGTGTAACTAGAAGTAGAGTCTCTCTCTCTTCCGATGTTTTATTGATTGTTAAATAACTAGGGTTAAAATGCAATAGTTGGCGAATTGACTTTAGATATACAGATTGAGATGAAAAACTTTGCAATAAACTCAAAAGCCATCATTTCTACATTTTTTTTGAAATTTTATTGAATGAAAGATTAAAATGCCGGAAATAGCATAACATTTTAGATTTGATTTGTTCGATTTGTTCGAATCGGTCACCTTTGGCACGAATTATGGCCTTCAAATGGCCAATGAAGCCGTCACACGCTGCTCGAATGTTGCTCTGCGGTATTTTGGCCCATTCCGGCGAAGCGCTTGCTTGAGGTGATCAACACTTTGGTATTTTTTAGTGCTAACCTTGCTTTCCAAAATACTCCAGAAACAATAGTCCAACGGATTGGCATCCGGAGATTTTGGTGGCCATTGTGCGCTGCAAATGAAGCGAGAAACCTCATTTTGTAACCATTCTTGGGTGACGCCTGCTGAGTGCGATGGTGCTGAGTCCTGTTGGAATGTCCAAGGTCTGCGGCGAAAATGTTTGCGTGCCCAAGGCTTTAATACATCATCCAGAATATTTTCGCTAAAATATTCGGCATTTATCGATTAATACGAGCGGAGAGCGACTATCGGCCCACACCATGACCATGGCCGGCGCTTGAGTTCTGGTGGCCAACCGAAGGTGCACATTTTCAGCTGACCTCTTTGGCAAGTAAACACGATAATTTTGTTTGTTTACAAACTGCTGGACAACGAATGTTTTCTCAACGGAGCGGAGAAAACCAAATTCGGCAGTTCACAATTTTCGGCCAAGCGAAGCAACTGTTTAGCTCTTTTGAGTCTATTTTCTTTCTGTTGCGGTGTAAGTTCTTGCACCTTTTGGAAGTCTGAAGTTGGTTGCAGTTTTTTCATCTCACCCTGTAGAGTAGAGTTTCTCCCTGTAGAGTAGATTTTCTCTTGTAAGTCGGTGTTTACGACGATTGCGACTACTAGTATTGAAATTCAGTTTTTTTTTTGAAGGGATGTCTGATTGTTGACGATTTACGGGTACTCGGGCATTGCTGTTACTCGAGAAGACGAAGTGTAAGGAATCGGGCAAAGTATTCGGGTAAATACGAATAAAGGATAATCGGGAACTGGTGGGTGGCTGATCCGAAATTACGATGATGATGATATGTGAGAAATTGAGGATTTTGATGTTCGGGTTGTACACAATTTGAATATACTCGGGAATTCTGGTTAATGTACGTCAGATATACGGGTATGGCGATGATGATGTTCCGGTTGTAGATGATTTGAATATAATTAGGAAATGTGATGAACTTACGCCCGAATTCAAGATGATGATGTTCGGGTTGAAGACGGTCTTTTGGAAGACCGACACCTACTTCACATTCTGAGTCAATTTATGAATTTCCGTCCATTTTATACCCTCAGCTATAGAGCTGCCGAGGGTATATATAAATAATACGTCCAAATAGGGCCGTATCAAACATATTGTTCGGACATGGACAATATAGGTCCACTGCTTCTTGTACCTCCCCCATAAATGTTACAATTTTCAAAGAAAATAATTTACCTCATGAAGATCATTCCATATTGTAAGAACTTTGCAAATCCCAAAATTTCCGTCAGTGCTAGGTCAAGTGAGAAAATGGGTAACAATTTTGAATAATTATAACTCATATAAAATGTGAAAAAAGCTTCGATTGCCTTCAAGTTTCACACATTCCAATATGTTTATTAACAAAAAATCTGGTGTGCTCGGGTTAAAATGTTGAATAATTATATCTCTCATCAAATACGAAATAAGAATCAGATTCTCTTTAGATTTCACAAGCCCCAATATTTTTATTAACCAAAGATCTGGCGTGAAGATGGGATGCATCGGTCCCCTCCTTTTGGTACCTCTCCCACAAAGGGGTTAAAATTCTAAATAACAAAAATTTTAATAAAATGCGAAATAATCACCTGTTTTTCTAAACTTCGCACATTCCAATGTTTCTAGAAACACAAGATCTGATGTGAAGATGATAAACATCGGCCCACCGATTACGGTAACTTAACACAAAAGTTCAACAATTTGATTAACAATAATTGGGACAAAATTGGAAATAAATCCTATTTTTTCACTCCAAACCAGTTCACCACTTTCGGGCAAGCGAATCAACTCTTTAGCTCTTTTGAGTCTATTTTCTTTCTGTTGCGGTGTTCTTGCACTTTTTGGAATTTCAAAGGCTTTACCCGGAGGTAATTTTTCAATATTTGCGATATGTTCAGCTCACGAGCCATTTTCTGTCACTGCGACGCGGGTTTTGATCATGTCGTTTCTTTACTTTTCGAACCATTTCTGCTGATGTTACTGTTTTCTTCCGTCCACTTCCTTGACGTCGGGCTACGCTAGCAGTTTTATTCACATTTAAATGCTGGAGTACTCTAGCGATAGCCACTTGTGGTTCTCCAGCCAAATATAAAGAAATCACACTATCACGCTTGAATTCCATCAGGAATAACTTTTTTTCTGGAAAATTCTCACCAAAATGCTTTTGTACGCTTGTAAACAATATAATGAGCTGTCACTGGAATAATTTTAACAGCTGTCGGACGAGTGGCTTGGAAATGACAGCAGTATCATTTTGGTTACAGTTTTGTTTTCATCTCACCCTGTATTCTTGATTAGATTTAACGATATTTAATAGCATTTTCAACGAGTTTTTTTAACATTTTCTTTTACTTTCCAAATGGTGAAGGGTATTCAAAGTTCGTCCCGGCCGAACTTAATTTAATTTATTTTTAAATTTTTTAATTTTGCACATACCAATATATTTATCGATATTAGATTCGCTATATAAGGTACCTAACGCATGTTTCAACGGTTTCGAAAATTATCCCATATTTCATTTAAGTGAAGGTAGTAGTCCATATAGCTCAAATCTGGTGCCTTTTATTATTTATATCAGACTTGAGTCAGATATGGCAAGGCTAAGGGTATAAATCTCTTGGCGAATATTGGCTGATACTTTTCGACTTGTTTATATAAAAGTTATTTTATATTTCGTCGGCTAAATATTATTCGATGACCATCCAGGCTATGGCTCAGCCCTTAATTCTAATCCCATGCAAAATTCCGATTGGTCTTTAAGTGTGGTCTGTAGAACAAGTTCAAAATTCTCTTTTTGGTCCATTTCAACCCCTAAATATTTTGCGACCATCTCTAACAGCAATAGGCTTCTATTTTGACCTTTATCACACCTATAATCAATCAGTCTTATAATGCACATAGTGTTAATAATCGCTTTCATATTAATTTGGACACGTGTTGTACATATCATAGAATCTCGACGATAGCCCTATTTTATATTAAATTTATAGACGTTTTTCCCTATTGATAAGTATTTATTTTAGCGACTATAAAAAATCTATTTATGGGAATTTGCCACGAAGTTTGCCATAGAAAGTTATAGCGTGAGCTTTTAAAGTAAAATATTCTCAAAGAGATCATATCTTTCATTTTTGTTCGTACAATGTATTTATTATTATTATACAACTACAACAATAGCAAATAAATGCAAAGCGGTGGCAATAGTTTCCTATATATATAAGTGTTTTAGAATTGTGTTTGGCACAAGTGATACCGGCAATAGCAAAATGGGGCTCCAACCTAGAGTGATGAAATTTATTGGAACAATTATTTTAATTATTTCCCTCACCGTAAAGGGAACAGCTGGAATGCATATCAACCGAAGCATTTTGGGCAGTTCCGCTTCTGACATAGTTCGAGGATTAAGTTCTCAATCTATACGAGAAATACCCGCACCGGATCAATTATTCTCTACCGCAATTAAAGTTTTGCTTGGTTTTCCAGAACAGGCAGTTTTTACCGTCCTTAATCAAGCATGTGAGTAGGATGAACAATTTTCCAGGAATTTTTTTTATTGGGTCTCTCTTTGTGATTGGTTTTATTTGAAGGTTCCATTTATTTGGCCTCGGGGGCCATAAATCCTCGTATCACACCCAATGTTGAGGAGATGTATTTTGAATTGCGTACACCCTGTAAAAATATAAGTGTTCCCATAGCTCAGCCAGAGCAACTTGTTAATCTGGAAGAATTCGATGCGGAGAAAAAAGTTGTTATCTTCGTCAGTGGCTGGGGTTCTGATGGCAAGGAGGATAGCTATATTCAAGACTTTGCCAATGCCTTTTTTTGTCGGGGTGAACATAATGTTGTTGTGAGTTATAATGGTTTATTTTTTAAATTCTGATGGCCATCTTTATCAAAAATATTTTTTATTTTCCCCCCTAGTACATAAACACCGGAAATTCCGTACAAACTCTGTACACATGGTCCGCCTTCAATACTGAAGAAGTTGGCAACATTCTGGCCGAAAGCCTAAAAGGATTGACCGAAAGTGTGCCCGTGGAAAATATTCACTTAGTTGGCCATAGTTTGGGTGCACAAATTGTGGGCAAAGCTGGACGCCAATTTAAAGATCTAACTGGCCAATCACTGCCTCGCATAACTGGTTTAGATCCTGCTAATCCTTGTTTCAACGAAGGCGAAGAATTATCCGGCATTTCACGTGGCGATGCTACCTTTGTTGATATCATCCATTCAAATCCTGGAGTTTTGGGTAAACCCAAATCGTTGGGAGATGTCGATTTCTATCCAGACGGTAAGAGAGCCATAAAGCCTGGATGTGTTAGGTTTGGCTGTTCACATGAGCGTTCGATACGCTATTACATTGAAACTGTCTATCCCGCTAATGAGCAAAATTTTTTGGGCAAACGTTGCAATTCATTGCAAAGTCTTAATGCTGGCCATTGCGATGGGACGGAACATGCCATGGGTTATGCCGTAGACCATGATCTAAAGGGAAATTATTATTTGAATGTGAATGCTGATCAGCCATATGGTAAAAATGCTCCAGCCGATGCAGTTGTACAACCAAACCAGTGTGGTCTCTGTGGAAGTCAATAGATACATGCAGATGTAAAAGATTCGCAAGAGAATTTTGTTAAGTTAAAATTACCTTAAATAATATATAACACTCTCAGCACTATTTAGTTGACCCCAAAGTATATACAGCACTACTATTAATTTTTGGATCTGCACTAATTGCTAAAATGTTAATACGTATGTATATGTTGTTCACGATATATTAATAAAATATGTTATACTACCAAGTGCCCGAAACTTTGTATGCGTTATGATTTAATCAAAAAGTAACCAGATGATATTTTTGCTATTTCCAGTAAAATATTGGCTACAGATTCTAAAATTGTAAAATAATTAATGAAAAAATCGGACATTCATTTCCCACAAAAGGTTGAACTTATGTGGAGGAGATTGTTTTAGCATATTACAGGAGTTATTATTATTTACAATTTTGACAATTTTCAGATCTTACCATAAAATTGCGATGTGCAGAATTTAAACTATACAGGGTAAAATGAAAAAACTGCAATCAACTTCAGACTGCTGTCATTCCTAAGCCACTAGTCCAACAGCGGTTAAATGATTCCAGTGACAGCTCATTATATTGTTTACAAGCATACAAAAGCATTTTGGTGAGAATTTTCCAGAAAAAAGTTATTCGTGATGGTAGAATTCCGTGATAGTGTGATTTCTTTATATTTGGCTGGAAAACCACCAGTGGATATCGTTCGAGCACTCCAGATTTTAAATATGAATAAATCTTTTGTGTCTCGTTCCATCACTCGTTACCGTGATAATGGTAGCGTAGCCCAACGTCAAGGAAGTGGACGGAAGAAAACAGCAACATCAGCAGAAATGGTTCGAAAAGTAATGAAGCGACTCGATCGAAACCTGCGTCGTAGTGGCCGAAAAATGGCTCGTGAACTGAACATATCGCAATATTCCATTCGGCAAATATTGAAAAATGAGCTCAGGGTAAGGCATTGAAATTCAAGAAAGTGCAAGTACAGGGTTGTCCATATTTGACGGACCCATCTGGCAACGCCATAACTTTTGACTGAGATGTCACATCGCTTAATGACATACCGCGTTTGAGACGTCAGTCCAAGCAGATTTTTACCATGAACCAATACACGCCACGCGAAATAGTTGAAATTTACATTCAACAGAAGAAGTCAATTGTGAAAACTCAACGTGCTTTTAAAACATTAAAAAATGTGAGAAGTGCCCCTTTTAAGAACACCAATAACCGTTTATATGAAAAATTTTCGACTGGTAAGGCTCTTTCTAATCCGAAGAGGCCATATAAAAGTCGACCAAGGCGATCGGACGAGAATATCGCTGCCGTACGAGCCAGTGTTGAGAGGTCCCCAAGAACATCCCCAAAACGCCGTTCTCAGCAGTTGGGCATGGCTCGGTCCATTATACAACGGATTATTCGCATTGATTTGCATTTGTTCCAGTACAAAATTCAATTGACGCAAAGAATGTTGCCTGCTGACAAGCCTCGTCGATTGGAATGGGCCCAAAGAGTCATGGGTCCGTCGAATATGGGCAACCCTTACTTTTACCGCAACTGAAAGAAAATAGACTCAAAAGTGCTAAAGAGTTGATTCTCTGGCGAAAAGTGATGAACTGCCGAATTTGGTTTTCTCCGATGAGAAAACATTCGTTATCCAGCAGTTTGTAAACAAGCAAAATTATCGTGTTTACTTGCCAAAGAGGTCGATCGCTTGGCCACCAGAAATAAAGCGCTGGCCATGGTGATGGTGTGATGGTGGGGCCATAACAGCCGATGGTCGCTCTCCGCTCGTATTAATCGACCGTGGCATCAAAATAAATGCCGAATATTATCGCGAAAATATTCTGGAGGGTGTGGACTTTTGTGTCTAGAGTATTTTGGAAAGCAAGGTTGGTACTAAAAAATACCAAAGTGTCGATCACCTCAAGCAAGCGCTTTGCCGGGAATGGGCCAAATTACCGCAGAGAAACATTCGGGCAGCGTGTGAGGGTTTCATTGGCCGTTTGAAGGCCATAATTCGAGCCAAAGGTGACCAATTCGAACAAATCTAAAATTATTCTAAAATTTGATGCTATTTCCGACATTTTTTGGTTTAATTCAATAAAATTCAAAAAATTATGACGTTTGAATTTTTTTCATTTTTTTATCTTACCCTGTATGTATAGGTCCACGTTTTTGTATAGCCCCACGGTACCTCCCGATATTCGGTATTTTGATGATTTTTTCCACATTTTTCCACATTTCGTCTAAAAAATGGCATTTGAAGTTCATGCTCCGGCGGCAGAACATTGATAATTTAGGTTCACGTTTTCCTATAGTGCGCATATAACGATACCCACCGAAACTCGGTATTTTGATAATCCAAGTCACATTAACCCACCAAATTGTTTCAAATTTAGTAATTATGTATATTGGACAGACGACTATCCTTGCAGTACATAATTGCCGATGGAGGTTCCCGTTTTGGTATGGCCTCCATACAACGGCGCCACCCACCCTATTGAAAAGTTTAACAGCATTATTTTAACAGCATAGTTTAAAGTGAAACATGTGTGAATTTGGCAAAAAAAAAAAAAAAAACGAATTCTAAATCACCTTACAACAACCGTAAGGTTGTCGAAGAACAACCTTGCTACTACATTTGCTTAGATATGTCAAGTTTTTATACCCTACACCACATAGTGGTAAGGGTATTATGTCTTTGTGAATTTGTTTGTAACATGGAGAAGGAAGCGAGATAGACCCATTGTTACTTTTGAGCATCTCCATAGAAGCACTTTCTGAGTTGATTTATGCATGTCAGTCCGTCTGCCCATGTATTCTTGTGAATAAAATGCATGTCGCATTTATTATCCGATTGAGATGAAATTTTGCACAAATCATTTGTTTGGCCCAAGGACGAACCCTATTGAATTTGGAGAAAATCGGTAAAAATTAGATATAGCTCCCATATATATCTTCGTCCGATTGGCTTTTATTGTGCACCAAACGTGTAATATCAGCCCCAATAGTATGGAATTTTGCACATACAATTAGGCTTGAAAATAAGATATTCAGGGAAATATATCAAATACAGCTCAGAAATATCTTTGCCAAATTTTATCGAGATCGGTTCAGATTTAGATATAGCTCCCATAAATATCTTTATCTGATTTCAAATTTAATTGTGCACCAAATGGACAATACAAGTCCGAATTTAAAAGATACAAATGCTTCGGCATATCTAGTCCTTTGAACCTTAAATTATAATTATAATCATAACGTATATGAATGAATTCTCCTAAAAAAACTTTTAATTGTTTTGTGGAGCTCTACTAAATTAGCAAAGTGGTGTAGGGTATCATAAAGTAGGCCCCGCCCGACTTTAGGACTTCCTTTACTGGTTTACTATGTATATTTCCAATTTGCCTTGAAAACCAAACTATTTTTTCCCAAAAAGATATAGACACTCACCTTGATTTTATTTTCAAATAAAACAAATGGTCGGGGAGTTTAACTTTCAAAGCTAATTTGTTGTTAGCAAACTTTCAGTTATCTATGTACAAACAAGCTGAGTCTTTTGCCTATTTATTTATAACTGTTAAAACGACACCATTTTTCTAAAGATATATAAACAAAGAAAACCAAACAAGATTTCAATTTTATTTCGAATCATCTTTATTTGCATAGATTTTGCTATAAAAGAATGATTCTACTCGGTATAAATAATTAGTGTATTAGAAATGGAGTTTCATGGCGCAAAGAAATTAATTATTACATATCTCTTGCTCACTGCTTTGGTGCGAAGTAGTTCGGGATTTTCGGTAATGAGTTTGGATCTGTTTTATTCGGCCAGTAGTATTATATCCGGAATTGGAGCTGAATTGTTGCAAAATTTTCCAACTGTGTCTCAATTATTCTCAGCGTCAATACAAATGTTATTCGGTTTACCGGAACAGGCCTTATTTAAGGCAATTAATCAATTGTGTAAGTGTTATGCGAAACAAAGAAAAAAAAAAAAATATAAATAAAAAAAATATAAAGTAGTTTATGAAATGATCCCAAAAACAATACGATTAAAATGGACATTATCCATATTTAATCGAGGCTAATAGTTTGAGAATTTAATATTATTATCCGAGTAAAAATGTGGTGAAAAAATTTAAATTAGCACCCAGTTATACATTTGATACATGTGACCGTGTATGGGTTAATAAAAGTGGTTATATATTTAAAAAATGTGTGCAAATATTAAATAAAGTATTATTAAATGTAGATTAACGTTATACGAACGTTTTGAAAAGACTTTATAAACGGTATTTTAATATTTGCTGAACAAATATTGTTTTAAATGATCATGACCTATATTTGATGAACAGGCTACCATTGTTCGGAGGGTTAACTTAATTTGATATTTCGTTTGTAGATCATCAGAATAAATATTATCTAAAATTTATGTCAGCAAGTTTTATCGGATTGAAAATAGTTCAAATTTCAGAAATGTTAATGGATATGTCCTACAGGGGGAGATAAGAAAACTGCAACAAAGTCAAATGCTATAGCGTTAACATTTTTACACCCTACAACACTATGTGTTGGGGGAATTATAAGTTTGATTGGGCCACAAATTATATAACACCTCGAAATATCGGTTTCCCACATAGGAAAGCATATATGGATCTTCCTAGCTCGCCGAGCTGAGTCGATCTAGCTATGTATGCCCGTCCGTCCGTCTGTCCGTCTGTCCATGTTAATTTGTAATCACTCTACAGATCGCAATTATGGCCCGATCTTCACACAATTTAGAATGTAGGTGGGGCTTGGACCAGAATAGAACCCTATTGCTTTTGGAGATGATCGCATAATATTTAGTAGTTGAAATGGACCAAAAACTGAAAAATTTCCAGATTTTGCATTTGCTCTACAGATCGCAATTATAGACCAATCGACGCGGAAGTTAGCATGACGATAGAGCTTAGGGCTGGACTGAAGCCTTCCAATATTGATGGTCATCGGGTAATATTTAGTGGGTGAAATAGACCATAGCATTTGTGTTAAATAAAAGTCAAATTTTCCATTAAACCGCAAATATTTTAATACCGGCGAAATCACAAATAGACGGTCAGGTTAATTCTGATCGTTACGTAAATGCCGATAGTTAATATATTGGATATATATAGCGAAATATATTCAATATGTATATACAAATGAAAGGGATGTTAGGTAGAATGCTTATATCTCAAGAATGGCTGGACCGATTTTGACAAATTTTGTCAATTTAGAATGCGCTCTTGGCATAAAAGAATAAAATTTAAAAAAATCGCATTAAAAGGTCTCAATAATGATGTTAAAATAGATTTTTTTTATTTTGTGACATTTTTTTATTTTTTCATATTTTTTATCGCATGCGATATTGTCAATTCGACTTAATATTGTGTATATTTTGTAATTTTTTTTTCACCTTACAACACAGATTGAGGTATTATATATAGTTTGCAATTATCGTCCGATATTCATGAAAATGTTAAAATCCTCAGAAGGACTTGGCCTATTGTTGTCAAAGATGTCCGCAATATATTTATTAAAATGGATCAAAAACAGAAAAAAATTCCTGATCACACAATTGAAGGCAACCGACACGCCTAAGGAGAGTAAGGACAGGGGAGAATTCTAGCATTTTAGATGACCATTGGATTCTATTTAGCTCCAAAATGGACCACAACATCTAACAGTACGACATGGTAGTGCTCCGTGACATAATTTTTAAAGCGAAATCTTTCAAAATGGATTTGGACAAAAGGGGGCTTCTAACATATTGTAGTGTTGTAGGGTATCATATGGTCGGCCCCGCACTACTATAACCTTTGCTTACTTGTTTTTTAATTTTTTTGAATGAAAGCAAAAAATTACGGTAATAGCATCACATTTTAGAATAAGTTTAGATTTGTTCGAATTGGTCACCTCTGGCACGAATTATGGCCTTCAAACGGCCAATGAAACCGTCACTGCACGAATGTTGCTTTGCGGCATTTTGGCCCATTCCCAGCGAAGCGCTTGCTTGAGGTGCTTGACACTTTGGTATTTTTTAGTGCCAACCTTGCTTATCAAAATACTCCAGACACAAAAGTCCAACTGATTGGTATTCGGAGATGTTAGTGGCCATTGTGCGTGGCCAATGAAGCGAGGAACCTCATTTTGTAACCATTCGTGGGTGGCGCGTGCTGAGTACGATGGTGCTGAGTCCTGTTGGAATGTCCAAGGTCTGCGGCCAAAATGTTTGCGTGACTAAGGCTTTAATACACCCTGCAGAATATTTTTGCGATAATATTCAGCATTTATTCTGATGTCACGATCGATTAATACGAGCGAAGAGCGACCATCGTCTGTTATGGCGGCCCACACCATCACCATGGCCGGCGCTTGAGATCTGGTGGCCAACCGAAGTTGCATATTTTCAGCTGACCTCTTTGGCAAGTTAACACGATCATTTTGTTTGTCTACAAACTGCAAGACATCGAATGTTTTCTCATCGGAGAAAACCAAATTCGGCAGTTCACCATTTTCAGCCAAGCGAAGCAACTTTTTAGCTCTTTTGAGTCTACTTTCTTTCTGTTGCGGTATAAGTTATTGTACTTTTTGGAATTTCAATGGCTTTACTCCGAGCTCATTCTTCAATCTTTGCCGAATAGCAACTTATGTTTTCCAGCCAAGCATAAAGAAATCATACTATCTCGCTTGAATTCCATCACGAATAACTTTTTTCTGAAAAATTCTCACCAAAATGCTTTTGTACGCTTGTAAACAATATAATGAGCTGTTACTGGAATAATTTTAACAGCTGTCGGACGAGTGGCTTAGAAATTACAGCTTTCTGAAGTTGGTTACATTTTTTTTTCTTCTCACCCTGTATGCCCGTATATTTTAGTCAGATCATTCTTGTGGATAGTCTATTTTTTTCAGAAAATGTTGAACATATGTTTATGTTTTACTATAGCCCCCATATAACTAAATCTTCCGATATTCTGTATTTTGAATGACTTTTCTATAACTTTCAACGAAATCATCTCAAATCCTAATATGCTGGATAGGATAACCCAAAAGGTATACATCGCAGTAAATTGTCAATACAGCTCTAGATTTAGGTACAACACAAAAATTTTTAAAAAAATCAGTTGTAAATTGAAATTTTATTTTCTTAGTGATTATGTCGAGTTTGGTCCCTCATACTTCAGGAAAAACGTGTGAAATAAATTGTTATGAATTAAAGCCAACCGATTTATCTACAACGTGAATTTGCAGAATTAGGTCAAGATAATTTGTTTTCAATTTTTGTAACACTACTAGGAAAATTAATCCGAGGGTGTCCAAAAAACCTTCATATTTAAAAAGCTTTTTTCCTAAGAATTTACTCATTTATAACGCACACTTTTAAAACTATCCATATGCATTCTTGTTATTTTAGGTTCAATATATGTGGGTTCGGATAACATAGATCCCCGTATAACACCTAAACTCAAGGAGATGTACTTTCAACTGAGGACGCCCTGTTCCAACATAAGCGTACCCTTAAGTGAAGCCCAAAAATTACTCGAGTATCCCGAATTTGATGCGAAGAAAAGAGTTGTGATTTTTATAACAGGATGGATGTCTAATATTCATGCCGATTACATTGAAGACATGGCCAGAGCTTTTAATTGCAGAGGAAATTACAATTTTTTGGTAAGGAGGGACTGGATTCTTGTTCTATGAAAACATGAAATGACAAAATATTGTTTAAAACATTTATTTATTTGACATTTCTTCCCGATATAAATTTTGTCATTTCACGAGAATTGAGGCCCAAACTTTTTTTAAATGCAATATTTTTTTAAAATATTTTTTTTTTTAATTTCTCCAGGCATTAAATGCTTCAAACTTCATCCAAACATTATACACATGGTCCGCCTTTAATACTGATGCTGTGGGCATTTTCGTTGGCAAGGGCATTGCTAAATTGAGTAAAAAAATTCCAGCAAAAAAGATACATTTGATTGGTCACAGCTTGGGAGCACATATTGCCGGTCGAGCTGGACGACAATTTCAAAAACTCACTGGGCAAAGTTTGTATCGTATAACGGGTTTGGATCCAGCAAATCCCTGCTTTAATGAAGGAGAAACCCTTTCTGGTTTACATCGTGGCGATGCCGATTTCGTTGATGTCATACATTCAAATCCTGGTGTTTTGGGTAAAGCCCAACCCTTGGGTGATGTGGATTTTTATCCTGACGGTTTGGCACCCATCAAAACGGGTTGTGTAATTTTCGGCTGCTCACACAGTCGTGCCTATGAGTATTTTATTGAAACAGTTTTTCCAGGAAATGAAAATAATTTTTTGGCCAAACGTTGTAATTCAATGACAAGTTATAATGGTGGACAGTGTGACGGCCTCGTGTATCCAATGGGTATTGCAACACCGACGTATTTAAAGGGTGATTTCTTTCTATCGGTAAATGCGAAAGATCCTTTTGGAAAGAATGCCTCACGAATGGCTGTGGATATGACTCAATATTTGTGTGGTCGTTGTAGTAATTAGTTGGATGTTTATAGTATAATTAGGTATAATAAAATGTTATTTAGTATTAGTTATAAAATTAACAGTGGTAAATAAATAAAACAGTGATGAAATAACTGACTGACTGTCCAGACAAAACGGCTGGAACCAAAATCATGAAATTTTGCACGAGGGACAGTCTTGGTGCGTAGGCATGCGATAAAACTGGGTTTTGACGAATTCTACATAAAGGGTACGAAGTCCTAAAAATTTAATACATTGCTTCGGACAAACGGCATGAGCTAGAATTCTGAAATTAATGAATAAATTGCGGAATGAGAGTAACAGATGGATTGCAGCATAGATGTACCAAAGGGTTTTTTTGAAATTCCAACTTTAAGGCTACGAAAAATTCTAAAATGGTATTAAACTTCTGAAACGGTACCTTTTGATATCATGTAAATTAATAGAGCTAAAAACAAGTAAAAAAGCTGGAACGAATTTGGCAATTTTCAAAAAATAAAATCAATTGAAAATGCTGTTAAAATCTTAAAAATACCGAATGTATAACGGCTACATACCATACATACAAATACCGAATATAGGGAAATACTATTATATGGGGGCAGACAATTTTCTGTCATCAGCTGTAGTATCCATTACGAACATCAAATACCAAATTTGAAACAATTTCGGTGAATAATGTCGCTAAAATCATCAAAATACCGAATATCGGGAGGTACCATGGGCCATTTTCAATACCAAAAGTTCTGCAGACATTATATACATTTGAGTAAAATTTATATCTGGAAATAAGATATTTAGATTGTATTGCAATTATGTACTCTAATGGTACGAAAAGTACCAAATGGTACTTATTATGTATTGGGTGGAGGGATAGGAATAAAACTTTGGAATTGGATATTTAGATTACTGGCGGTATCTGTGTTTGAGATTTGTGGGTGGTTTTGGAAATGCTTCCTATATTTGTACGAAAAGTACTAAATGGTACCAAATTTGGTATTACTCTACTCTGAGAAAATCCAACAAAAATGGCAGGACCAAATGGGATGCACCATCCCCAAACGAATCTGGCCCACACTCTCAGAGAAGAGAACAAGGTCGTTGATGTCACTGTCAAAACCTGATTTAAAACTTGTGGTGGGTATCATCACAGGTCACTGTAAGGTGAGGGCTATGACCTCGAAATAGGACAGCGACGACATTGATTACTGTAGGATCTGTCAAGATGAAGAAGAAATCGACACAGTCGATCACATGCTCTGCCCAGCACTCATTAATGTGAGACACAGGCTAGTGGGAGAACTAGTGTCACATGACCTGTCTTCTTTTTCTAACACTGACCCTATAGTAATCCTTCAATTAGCCAGAATATTCATGTGGCTAAAGACGACACGGCAAACTCCTCAGCCGTAGATCACACTCTATAACTTTACCTTTTATCTTCACCTCTTCTACCAATCACATTTTCCTCTTTTCTTAACATTCTTTTTTAGGATGAACACAATGGACCTATAGGTCTCCGAGTGGAGCGGTTGCCATATGGTAAAAAAAATTCGAAAAATAAAGAAGCGACTTGTCCGAAAAATGTCTCGTGAGCCCAACATATCGCAATTTTCTATTCGGCAAATATTAAAAAATTAGCTCAGGCTAAAGCCGTTGAAATTCCAAAAAGTGCAAAAACGTACACCGCATCTGAAAGAAAATAGACTTAAAAGAGCTAAAGAGTTGCTTCGCTTGGCTGAAAGTGGTGAATTGCTGAATTTGGTTTTCTCCGATGAGAAAACATTCGTTGCCCAGCAGTTTGTAAACAAACAAAATTATCGTGTTTACGTGCTAAAGAGGTCAGCTGAAAATGTGCACCTTTGGTTGTCCGCCAGAACTCAGGCACTGGCCATGGTGATGGTGTGGGCCGCCATAACAGCCGATGGTCGCTCTCCGCTCGTATTAATCGACCTTGGCATCAGAATTAATACCGAATATTATCGCCAAAATATTCTGGAGGGTGTATTATAGTCTTGGGCACATTTTGGGCCCAAAACTTGGACATTCCAACAGGACTCAGCACCATCTCACTCAGCATGCGCCACCCAAGAGTGGTTACAAAATGAGGTTACTTGCTTCATTTCCAGCTCACAATGGCAACCAAAATTTCCGGATACCAATTCGTTGGACTATTTGTCTGGAATATTTTTGGAAAGCAAGATTGACACTAAAAAATATCAATGTGTCGATCGCTTCAAGCAAGCTCTTCGCTGGGAATGGGCCAAAATCCACAGAGAAACGTTCGGGCAGCGTGTGACGGTTTCATTGCCCGTTTGAAGGCCATAATTAGTGCCAAAGGTGACCAATTGGAACAAATCTAAACTTATTCTAAAATTTGATGCAATTTCCGACATTTTTTGCTTTCATTCAATAAAATTAAAAAAATGTAAAAATTATGGCGTTTGACTTTGTTGCAGTTTTTTTATGTCACCCTGTATATGAGGGCGGCTCGGAAACTTCTTAGCTTATCAATGAAAGAGAATCGTTAGACTTACAAAAATATTTTTATACCCTCCACCTTGGAAAGGAGGGTATATTAACTTTGTCATTCCGTTTGTAACATCCTTAAATATTCGTCTTAGACACCATAAAGTATATATATATTCATAATCAGCATAAAATTCTAAGTCGATTTAACGATGTCCGTCTGTCTGTCTGTCTGTCTGTTGAAATCACGATACAGCCCACAATATTTGACGTAGAGCGCCAAAATTTAGCAGAGCTATTTGCATTGTGTCTAGGATGGTTGGTATTGAAAATGAGATACATCGGTCCACGTTCTGGTATAGTCCCCATATAACGGTACCTCCCGATATTCGGTATTTTGATGTTTTATGCCACATTTTTTCACGGATTTGTCTGGAAATTGGTATTTGTAGGTCATAACGGGTCCCTGAGCGTGTGGCAAAACATTGTATGTATAGGTCCACGTTGTGGTTTAGCCCCCATATAAAATTACCTCCCGATATTCGGTATTTTAGTTTTTTTTTGCCACATTTTTTCACGGATTTGTCTAAAAATTGGTATTTGTGGGTCATAATGGTTTCCAGCTCCGGTATCGAAACATTGCATGTATGTGTCCATGATTTGGTATAGCCCCCATATAACGGTACCTCCCGATATTCGGTAATTTGATGATTTTTGCAACATTTTTTCACGGATTTGTTTGAAAATTGGTATTTGTTGGTCATAATGGGTTCCAGCTCCGGTGGCGAAACATTGCATGTATGGGTCCATGATTTGGTATAGCCCCCATATAACGGTACCTCCCGATATTCGGTAATTTGATGATTTTTGCCACATTTTTTTCACTGATTTGTCTAAAAATTGGTATTTGTGGGTCATAATGGGTCGTAGTTCGTGTGGCAAAACATTGTAATTATAGGTCCACGTTTTGGTATAGCCCCCATATAAAGGTACCTCCCGATATTCGGTAATTTGATGATTTTTGCCACATTTCTTCTAATGTTCCTTTTACCCTAAGGTGGAGGGTATTAAAAGTTTGGCCCGGCCGAACTTATTGTTTTTTACTTGTTCAATATAATCTCCTGGAACTTCAATATACATAGTCCAACGTTTTTCTAGCAATTCCATCCCTTGATTAAAAAAGTTTTCTTCAAGGTCCCAGAGTTTCGATGGGTCATACCTTGGATATATCAAATTATGTACATCCTCTATATCTCTAAATAAAAAAACTCAAAATAATATTTTTTTATTTTATTTTCGTTTTGTTCGATTCAATGTTTTGTATATATGGTTGTTTATATTAATTACATTTTCAGTACACTTTTTCATACATTGACAACTGATTGAGAATTTTTTTCACAAAAACTATTCGAGTGGATATTTTTTGTAAAACATTTCATTTCATTTGTAGGATTGTCGTCGTCCATACATGAAAACTGTTCGGAAAACTTAAGTTTTAAACTATATAAGGAATTTAAGTTACAATTAAGTTGTATTGTTTGGTTAACTTATGAAATAAATAAATTAATAATATAACTTAATGATACGTTTATATGCTATGTATATAAATTAAACAAAGACGAGCAAGAACGAAAACAAAAAAAGATAAATAGACCCAGATTGTTTTGAAAATGATTATAAATATGGATTTGGATTTAGTTGGTTTTTCTCTTTTAGTAAAAAGTTTTTAAACGTGCACTTAGTCGAATTCTAAGAAAACAATTTTTTTTTATAAAATACTGGTTTTTATACAAATATTAAAATATTCATAACAATTTCTATATATAAAAGGAAAATTTTTCACACACACAAAAGGATTTAGAGAAAATATACAAAAAAATATTTTTTTTGGAATAGGGTTTCCAGTAATAACAATAGGTAAATTGTTATGACCAATAGTTAAAATGTCGGATGAATTATTCAGTAATTAGATTAATTTTTCAAAATTAATAATTTAAAAGATTTATATTTTAAATTCGTGCCAATTTTTAAAATTAATTTATCCATAGATCCTATAACTAACCATTGGCCATAGCGATTTTTTTTCATAAAGAAAATAAAATTTATCTAAAAAAATGTTTTTGAAACACTAAAGAGTTTCAATATAAAACATGAGTATTTCATTCTGCATGAAGGAGAGGTAGCGGATTATAATTTTTCAAATCCGAAAAAAAGAAATCACAAAAAAATCAAATCAATTGGCATAACTGATAATTATCATCATTATCATTTGCCAACTTGTAGCCAATTATGATGTGATAAACAACAACAAAAAATAATCGATTGTCTATCACTAGAACAAACAAAAGTTTCGAGGATGGGGGGGTAGTTTCGATTTTTAAATAAAATCATTTCTTGCTAAATGGTTGAGGAGGAGAGCGGGATCTACCAAGCTCTTTTATCTCTATCTACTAGATATGCAAGGAATATTCCTCTCATTAATCCAACGTAATATGGGGATTTGTATATGTAAAACCTAGGAACTGTTTCTGATCCATTGATTGTAGTATATCCTTATCGATGGGTGTAAGACGTACACGTTCTCTTGTAAATACACGATCAAAATATTGTGTATCGAGAGGGTGTTTCTAAAACGGAAAAGAGAGGAAGAGAGAGAGAGAGAGAGATTAATGAGTAATATTGATCAAATAGGTTATAGGTGACTTACCACTTGCGGTCTAAATGGTGGCTCTATCAGTCGTTTCTCCAATAGATTCCAGTCTATGGGTCTGAAGAATATATGCTCAACAACATCTCCAGCTGGACTGTATTGATTACCAATACGTTTGTTGTGATCCTTTTCTAAAAGCTGTAATAAATAAAATAATTGAAGATTAAGTCAGATTTTGCAATCAATATAATAGCACAAGTTAAAATACAGGGTGAGATGAAAATCTGCAACCAACTTCAGACTGCTGTCATTTCTATGCTCTTAAAATTGTTCCAGCGACAGCTCAAAGCTTACAAAAGCATTTTGGTGAGAATTTTCCAGAAAAAAGTTATTCGTGATGGTATCTAATCCGTTGGACTATTGTGTCTGGAGTATTTTGGAAAACAAAGTGTGGATCACCTCAAGCAAGCGCTTTGCCGGGAGTCGGCCAAAATACAGCAGAGCAACTTTTAGGCAGCATGTGACGGTTTCATTGGCCGTTTGAAGACCATAATTCGTACCAAAGGTATCTAATTCGAACAAATCTGAACCTTTTCTAAAATTTGATGCTATTTCCGACTTTTTTTGCTTTCATTCAATAAAATTTAAAAAATGCAGTTTTTTATCTCACGCTGTATGTCGAAAAAAATTTTTTTTTGTAACGCGATGCCATATTTCATTATAACTTACCCCTTTTAGTATGCTTGTTGCTTCCGCTGATATATAAACTGGGAACCATGGAATTTCATTGCATATTGACCAGAATAGTTCATCTTCATCACAACCGCTGAACGGTGATTGTCCAATAAGCATTTCGTATAATAAAACGCCAAAGGACCACCAATCGACATTTTGATTATAATTTTCGCCCTGTAATGGAAATTGAAGAAATTAATTCAGTTTTTTATTACTCAGGTTTTACGAATGTGAATTTACATAAATAAAAGTTTCTGAGAGCCCTACATCATTTGTCGTATTCGGTTTTTTTCAACTTCATTAAACAAATACGATAAATATAGCATAGCAATACGAATGCAACTGAAATACGACCTACGAGCGTAAAAATATAAAATAATGTTCAAATTCAATTAGGACAGAACGTATTTGGTTTCATTGTATGAAAAACAATGCGAACATTTTTATTAAAAACAAGTAAAAAAGCTGAAAATCAATCGGCCGGGCCGATTTTTGGATATCCTCAACCATTTGGAACGATTTTGAAAATTTTCAAAAAATAAATTCCGCTAAAAAGTTTGTAAAATTTTAAAAATAACGAATGAAGCCGCTATATTAAGGTCTATACGAAATTCGGTGAAAAATGTAGCTAAAGTCATGAAAATACCGACAGACAATTTTCTTTCATAGGCTGTAGTACCATATATGAACTTCAAACACCAAACATTTCCGGTGAATTATGTCGCTTAAAGCACCAAAATACAGAAAAGAATGGAGGTACCATTATATGGGGGCTGTACCAAAACGTGGACCTACATCACCCATTTTCAATACCAAAAGTCCTGCATACATAATACACATTTAAGTAAAATTTTATCAACCTACTTCATTTCGTACGGAAGCTGGAGTGATTTCCACAGACGGACAGATGAACGGACATCGCTAAACCGACATAGAATTTTATGCTGATCCAGAATATATATGCTTTGTGGGCTCTAAAATGTATATTTGGAGGTGTTACAAACGGAATTACAAACTTAATATACCCTCCATACAATGGTGGAGGGTATGAAAAAATAATAAAAAATCTGTCAAAAGGCAGATTTGCTTCTCTCGACTTACATGCATATAAATAAATGTGTTTAGCAAAATAAATGAAAAAAAAAATCAATTTCTAAAATATTTAAATATTTTTTACATATTGAAAATTTGATATGGAAATAATATCTGTTATTAGAAATAGGCTAATAAAAACTCGCAAATTGTTTTTATAGATTTCAACTCCGACAGGTATTCCGTTACCAAATTCCCCATTATCAACCTACCTTAATTATTTCAGGCGCCATATAATCCGGTGTACCACAGAAACTATCAGCTGTTTTATCCAAATAGATTTGTAATTTGCACATACCGAAATCGGCAATTCGTACATGTCCTTCGTAATCCAGCAATACATTATCCAATTTGAGATCTCTGTTTGGGAATAGCGGAGTTAGTAATTAAACATTTGTGAAAATTATTTTCATTATTGAAATACCTGTATATAATGCCCTTTTTATGCAAGAATTTTAGACCTGATATAATTTCGGCACCATAGAAACGTGCTCGTTCTTCTGTAAATCGTCCACTTTCCTGTATGTGAAACATTAGATCACCACCATTCAGGTATTCCATTACAAAGAATAGATGGCTCTGAAAATGAATAAAAATAAAACATCCATTAACTGAAGAATTTTGAAACATGTCAATTTATTCTTGTATTATTTCAAAAAAAAACAATAAAAAACCAGCACCCTACACCACTTTGCTAATTTAGTTGAGCTCCACATAACAATTAAAAGTTTTTATGGGAAAATTCAAGCATACACCCTATGATTATAAATATAATTTAAAATTCAAAGGACTAAATATGCCGAAGCATTTGTATCTTTTAAATTCGGTGCAAAATTAATTTGAAATCAGATAAATATATATATATGGGAGCTATATCCAAATCTGAACCGATCTCAATAAAATTTGGCAAAGATATTTCTGAGCTGTATTTGATATATTTCCCTGAACATCGTTGTTACGGAGTGCATATTACGGCTGTGGGTAACAAATACTATAGCTATAGCTATATCTGATGGGAGCTATAGCTATATCTGAACCGATCTTCACCAAATTTGGCATACTACCTTCTAGACTCAATTCGGTCGTATGTGCCAAATTCCATCCCATTTGGGCAAATACTAGACGTTTGGTGCACAATAAAAGGTAAATCGGACGAAGTTATATATGGGAGCTAGATCCAAATCTGAACCGATCTCGATAAAATTTAGCAAAGGTATTTCTGAGCTGCATTTGATATATTTCCCCAAATATGGTTGTTACAGAGTGCATATTACGGCTGCGGAGGACTAAAATAACAAATCGGATGAACAATATATATAGGAGCTATAGCTATATCTGAACTGATTTCGATCAAATTCGGCATACTTATTTTCAGGCCTAGTTTGGTTGTATGTGCAAAATTCCATACTATTCGGACTGATATTACACGTTTGGTGCACAATAAAAGGCAAATCGGACGAAGATATATATGGGAGCTATATCTAAATTTTTACCGATTATCTCCAATTTCAATAGGGTTCGTCCTTGGGCCAAACAAATGTTGTTTGGAAAATTTCATCTCAATCGGATAATAAATGCGACCTGTATTTTGTTCACAAGAAAACATGGACAGACGGACTGACATGCATAAATGAACTCAGAAAGTGATTCTATGCAGATCATCAAAAGGAACTATGGGTCTATCTCGTTTCCTTTTGCCTGTGCATACCCATAAAAATTAGTAATGGCAAGAGTCAAAACATTTTGTCATTAAACATGGCAGAAATTTCCATACAGGTGGTGTCACCAATGTATCAGTTTATTCTTTCTATGGTTTGAAAAAAAATTTACACTTCTATATTTAAATTCATGATTCGACATCGAATTTTGTCTCCACAATGGCATTATCCTAATACAAGGCATGAATCATCGATTACTAATTTTGTACTTCGATATTTTTTTTTTTCAAAGCAAATCGAAAATTTGTTTAACAAAAACATTTGTCGCTCTCTCTTAAGCATGAATGTCATGACATCTTTGTTATTGATTTGTACTCTATTCTCGTTTGAGTTTCCTTTCCGTTCGTTATAAATACTCGTACTTTGGTCTTGTCAAGGGTGTGCGGGTATTTATGTATCTATTGATCGATCTATCTATTGTTTGTATACCTGTGCACTTGACTTAATTTTCACCTACAATGTCATAAACAATTAAAATGTTCTTCTGTCTGTTTTTCGTGTTTTTTTTTTTTTTGGGTTCTGCTCTATGGCATTTAATGCGTAAAAATATATGTCAATGCGAACACGCTTCGATTGTCTTCGAAATGTGAATGAAAATTTGCTAAAACAAAAACTAAACTAAGAAGATAGACGCTATTGACGGCATATTTGGTGCGTGAATGTATTTAGGATGTTAGGAGGACAGAAACGAATTTTCTGAATGAAAATGTTTTATTTTTAATTCCCATTCATTATATAGTTTATGTTATACACGCCATTTGTAAGGTATATAAAATGTATATAGACATGTAACTACTTTTTTTATGTAATGCGGTGGCGGATGTAAATGCTACAGCATTCACTTCCATGCTAATACAGAAATACTACAGCATTTGTAGAATCAAATTTTATTAATTTATTTTTATACATTTCATATGATGACCAAATGATTCATTCATCCGATGTTTATACATCAGATCAGATTTTGGATATTTCAATTAGTTTCATAGAAACTCCAGATTTAAGCAGATGCAAAAAATGTGACTGTTCGGTACTGCACCTCTCTGATTTTTATTGCGTCCCCAAACCTGGTTATGAATTTATAAGGCTTACAACTCTGAAGCGGACTTATATAAAATTAAATACAACCAGCGTTTGTTTAGTGAACGTTCCAGTTAGTTCGAAAACACAAACTTAAACAAGAAAGTAATGGAAAAAGTCGAATCAGACCGAACTCATGTTGACATAGAGCCGATTCCGGTTACGCATTATTTATACCCAACAACCTATGTGTAACACCTCGAAATATTGGTCCGCGACACAGGAAAATATATATGGATCTTCCTATCTCGCTGAGATGCGTCGATCTAGCTATGTGTGTGCGTCTGTCCGTCCGTCTGTCCATGTTAATTTGTAATCACGCTACAGGTTGCAATTCCCCACGAAATTGGGAATGGGGTGGGGTTAGGGTCGAAATAGAACCCTAAAGTTTTTGAAGACGATAGCAAAATATTTAGGGGTTGAAATGGACCAAAAACAGAAAAATGTGCTGATTTTGCAGCTGATCTACGGGTCGAAATTATAGACCAATTGATGCGGAATTTAGCACGTGGCTAGAGTTTAGGGCCAGGCCGAAGCCTAACATTTTGTTAAGTCATCGAACAATATTTAGCAGGTAAAATAGACCATAACTTTTATGTAAAAATATGAACATTTCCACTAAACCGCGAATATTTTTAATCGAATCGGCGGAATCACAAATAGACTGAAGGTCACTTCTGAACTTTACAGCGATCCTGCTGGGAATTTCCTGAAAAAAAGTTATTTTTGATGGAATTCAAGCGTTATAGTGTGATTTCTTTATATTTGGCTGGAAAACACAAGTGGCTATCGTTAGAGTACGCCAGCATTTAATTTAATAAATTTTTTTGTCTCGCAACATCGCTCGTTACCTTGATATAGCCAGATTAGTCCGACGTCAAGGAAGTGGACGAAAAAAAAAAAAACAGCAACATCAGCAGAAATGGTTCGAAAAGTAAAGGAGCGACTTGATCGAAACCCGCGTCGCAGTGGCCGAAAAATGGCTGGTGAGCTGAACTTATCGCAATATTCCATTCGGCAAATATTGAAAAAAGCACTCAGGGTAAAGCCATTGTAATTCCAAAAAGTTCAAGAACCTCAATGGAATGAAAATAGACTCAAAAGTGCTAAAGAGTTGCTTTGCTTGACCGAAAGTGGTGAACTGCCGAATTTGGTTTTCTCTGATGAAAAAACATTGGTTGTCCGAAATTTGTAAACAAGCTAAATTATTGTGTTTACTTTCTAAAGAGGTCACATCAAATGTGCACCTTCGGTTGGCTACCAGAACTCAAGCGCCGGCATGGTGATGGTGTGAGCCGCCATTACAGCCGATGGTCGCTCTCCGCTCGTATTAATCGACAGTGGCATCAGAATAAATGCTGAATATTATCGCGAAAATATTCTGAAGGGTGTATTAAAACCTTGGGAACGCAAGCATTTTGCCCGCAGACCTTGGACATTCCAACAGGACTCAGCACCATTGCACTCCAGGCCACCCAGGAATGGTTACAAAATGAGGTTCCTCGCTTCAATTCCAGCTCACAATGGCCACCAAAATATCCGGGTATCAATCCATTGGACTATTGTGTCTGAAGTATTTTGGAGGCAAGGTTGGCACTAAAAAATACCAAAGTGTCGATCATCTCAAGCCAGCGCTTCGCCGGGAATGCACCAAAATACCGCAGGGAAACATTCGGGCGTTACGTTTTCATTGGCCGTTTGAAGGCCATAATTCGTGCCAAAGCTGACCAATTCTAACAAATCTAAACTTATTCTAAAATTACAAATATGTGCTCTCTAATGTATGGTGGAGGGTATACACAACTCACAGCAGTGATGTAGGTATACATTTCTTTTCAAATCTAATTATTTCCCTCCCCCATTCCTACTATAATATAGAATACTTACTATTTTCTTTAAAATTATGTTAGGCTAATTTATAAATTCAATTCAAAACAAAATCAATTTCCTACAAACACCTGCAGTTAATCATTGGCAAAGAATGTTCCTAATTAATCACGTGGCATTCTTCAGCGAATGACTGATAATTTGTGGAAATACGCATTTAAATTAAATTTAATTGGACACCAAAAAAATCTATGCCAAGAAGAGGAACCAACATGCGGATATCACAATGCATAAAAGTTTTTAGAATACAGGGTCGGCGACACTTATTAATAGTCGTCGTTTTGTTGTTTTTTGCATTTGCGGTGGCAAACACGAAAGGTTTTCGCAATGTGCCGCCCCCACAGAGTGGCGTGCACTATTCTCTGATTTCTTTATCTGATTCTTCGTTCCTGATGTGACTTGTGATCTTTCCTCTAATACGCATAAAAATAACCAACGAAAAATAGGTACAAGAGTTTTAATAAAACAATTCTAAAACAAAATACCGAATTTTATGTAAAAGATACAAGCGAACATATCACCGATATTAACAACTATCTGTCCGACGTTTGCCTGGTTGCATGTATGTCTGTTTGGTTGTTTTTATACGTTTGTTTTTTTGTTTGTGTCTAAATTTAAGTTTGTTTAACCAAACATAATGATGATATATTAGCAGCATAGCTGCTGGGTTACGCCATCACAACGTTGGCTGTTCAAATCCACACCATAGTGACGCGAACCGAGGAGGTGTGATGGCAAACAAGACATTTTTTGTAGGTGGAAATCGGCATTTTTTCTTCACAAATCATATGGCATGGCACGTACAATCAAGAATTTACTTGATCGAACCAAATGACTTTGCGTATGCGTGTGCCTAGGTATGCAGGCTGATCCCATTTCGGATCTAGTTCAATTCGTTTGAAATGTACCCTGATCCATAAAATGGTCATTGGCACTTGAATGGCGGTAGCGTTGAAGTCGTATCGTCGCTCTCATACCTGGCCACCATGAATTGGGGTCTGCAGCGTTGAAGAACAAATGAATGAGTCTTCAGTGGGGTAGGCAGTGTCGAATTGTTTGGTGTTTAGGACGCACAAACAGAAAATAGCTTCTGATGGCCATTTTATTATAAAATTAGATTATTTTTACCTTTATTTTGGGGTCTTTCATTATGCGGTTTATTTAAAAAATATTGAGGGAGAAGACGCGTGTCTAGCTAATGCGAAACAGGTGGGAGGGAAATAATTTAAAAGTAATAAAAATTTTATTGTCTTGAATATTCAATCACAGAGCATTTCGTTGGATATGAGACATGTGTCAGGGGTATTATAAGGCTCATGTCTAATATTTGGCGTACGCCCTCGGAGTATCGCACCATAAAAGTTGAAATCTATTTAAATTTCACAGTATAACCAATTTTAAAAAGTTTACAACTAAGATTCGGAAAAGCGATAAATGGATTTTTTTTATTTTTTATATTTTATGGTTGCCTTGAAGATATTGACCTTGCATATTTGGATAATACGCACGAAAAAACGCTTTAACATAGTGGGGATGATGAGTATTTTCGGACGGTACGTAAGGTATTAGTTATGGGTCTTAAATGCATGGTTATCTCAAAAAGGGTAAAGGAGCAAAATAAGTTATCCTTGATACTATGTAAAAATGTTCAATGGAATTGTCTGGAATTCTACACAAGGAGTTCCTTCTGAGTACTTTAACCCCTGGAAGAGAAGGTCCACGATATTGTACATCCCCTAATACAATGGTAGCCCCCCATATTCGCTATTTTGTTGATTTTAGTGACATTTTTACCGAAATTGTGTCAAATTTGGTATTTAAAGTTTGTAATGGGTACTACAACCTATGACAAAAAATTGCGTATGGAGGCCCAAGTCTTCGTATGGCCCCAATATAACGGTACCTCTTTATATTCGGCATTTTGTTTCACATTTCGTATTTTAAGTTCGTTATAGGTACTACAGTCTATAACAGAAAATTATATATGTCCAGGCCTTCGGATAGCCCCCATATTTGGGTACCTTCCTATATTCGGTATTTGGTGATTTTTTTTTCAAGTTTTGTATTTGAATATTGAAATGGCCTATGACAGAAGTTGCCTCTGCAAGTCCCCCAATATAAAGGCGACTTCTTATATATTCGGTATTTTTAAGATTTTACTTTAATTTTTAATTCTTAACGGATTTTATTTTTTTTTTTTGAAAATTTCCAAATTTGTTCTAAATGGTGGAGTGTTTTCAAAGTTCGGCATAAATGAACTCACTGTTTTTTACTTGTTATTGCTCACACATTTCAAAAACAACCTCCATATCTTATTGCCAGATACCAACAGAGACCTCAATATCGAATTTCAGCATTATTCCTCCACCCAATACCAATTTTAGTACCATTTAGTACTCTTCAAACAATTATATTACACATCTCGAAAACCACCTCCATATTTCGATCCCTGATACCAATAGAGACCTCAATATCAAATTTCAGGATTCCAATAACCAATTTAGTACCACCTAGTACCTTCTGAACAATTCCAAAACCATCTTCTATCCTAACCACAGATACCCACAGTGACATCTACATAAAACTTCAGGATTTATTCCTTCACCCAATACCATATTTGGTACAATTTAGTATTTTTTGCACAAATGTAGGAAGCATTTCCACACCACCGCTCAATCTTAAATACAGATACTAGCAGTAATCTAAATATCAAATTTCATTATTATCTCTTTCCCTACACCCAATACCAAATTTAGTACTTTTTAGTACTTTTCGTGCGTCGTGTAGTACACACTTTTAAACCACCTCTTTGTCACAACTTGGACCCCACCAACATGTACCCCAATACAATATTTCACAATACAGCTTCATCCATTCACCCTAAAACAAACTGTTTCAAATTTAGTACCACTTAGTACAGCTCACACACTTAGTACACATTTCCAAAACTATGTACTAACTAAAAATTTCAAGCACTATATCTTTACCCAATACCAAATATAATACAAGCTCATTCCGATTGCCCAATACAAAGTATTTATTTTAGTACCCAGTTAGTAGGAGATCAGCCATTTCGTCTGGGCCATTAAATCAAAAATAAATCTGGAAATTGGAACATGAAATTAGGATGTCAAGTTATATGGGGGCAATTCCGAAGGACATACTTATGTTAAATACCTTACGCCGGAAGATTTTCTAAAAAAGTTGCAACAGGACCCATTAAGAAGACACAATGTGCCTAAAATGCAAAGTGGTTAAGAAATGTGGACTAGGGTGGAACTTTTTTTCCTACATTTTGTATACAAAAATTTGTGTCATAGCCTGTAGCACCCATTACGAACTAATTCCGGTAAATACTGTCGCTAAAATCATGAAAATACCGAATATCGGGAGGTACCGTTAATAAAGGCTAAACGAAGACGTGGACCTGCATACAATTTTTTTTTTTCATAGGTTGTAGTACCCATTAGGATCTTCCAATACGAAATTTGAAACGATTCTGGTAAATAATGAAACTTAAATCATAAAAATACCGAATATCGGGAGGTACCGTTATATGGGAGCTATACGAAAACGTGGACCGATATGGCCCTGCTTACTGGTAAACTATGCTTGTATGCAAAATTGTATCCTTCTATCTCAATTCGATCGAAAGATAGCGAGATTACAAAGAACAGACAGACAGACGGAAATGGCTAGATCATCTTAGAATTTTACGCTGATCCAGAATATAGGGTTTGTAGGGTCTATTATGAATATTTCGAGGAGTTACAATCGAAATGACAAAGTTAATATAGCTTCTATAGAATTGTGGAGGGTATAAAAAATCGCAAGGATTCATCATTTCTTGTTTCGAACATTTTTAGGTTTGCTCAATGTATTCGTGCTGTGGTCAGTCCAAACCGTTAATTTCTTTTTTTTTTTTTTTTTGGGACATGAACCTCAGTAAATCCGACTCAATTAATTTCTTAATAGCTATCCCATAAATTTTCATAATAAATTAAAAAATTCCGATTTTAATTAAGTGTGTGTTTATACATGATGTCATTTTATAGATTTTCACATTAAAACGAAAATAGACAAATACCGAATGCTTTTAATAGCCAGCCATCTAAGAGAGCCGCAATTTTCGACACTTACCTCTGTTTGAAATGTGCAAAACAGGTGACACAAATACGGATGTTTTGTGCCCAAGGCCAAGACTTTACGTTCTATCAGCGTTGAATCGACATCGTCATCTTCGAGGACAACATCTTTTTTCAAACATTTAACTGCATAATAATATGTTGTATCACGTAATTCAGCTAAGAGTACCTAAAAGTAACAACAAAATCACATGGGGGTTAGGGATAAGGATAACAAATATTTCGATTTTTCTGTTGGTGATGGAAAAACTTACTTTGCCAAAGCTGCCTTTGCCTAGCACAGCTAGGAAATGAAAATCATCAACTGAATAATTCTTAAATCTAGGTATAACTGTGGCTGGCGGTGTAAAACGTCCGGATTTTTGGAATTGTGAATATGTATATGAAGTTTCTAAAGAAAAGATAATACAATATTAAAAATGTATCAAAATGTAAACAATTTGAGAATTTTTCATATAATATAGTGATCACTTTTGTAACGCAGGAATTTTCAGAAATTTATAATTATAATTGTTGGCCATACCATCTTGTTCTTCATTTGGTTCTATTTTATATGCTGGATTCAAACTAGGCGGTGTACTTGGCGAATCTCTGGTTTCACGAGCACCTGTTCGAAAAATATCAATAATTATGTTTTATTTTTAGCTCACGCAGACAGACTATCCAAAATATGAACACCACATCATTATTTTGCGACATACGTATGTTTTGATTTTCAAGGAAAGTCATTTGTCGGGGTAATTAGGGTAAACTATCATTTTTTGCCAGAAAAATCGATTCTTTGAAGGATTGATGTCAAAATATATGTCAGCAGTGTAGAAGGTTAATGATGGCAAATGTTAATGATCCCAAAGACGGGAAGGTTCATTGTTTTTTCTTCTTTTTTAAATCGGCCATGGTGAACATTATTTTCATGGCGTATGTTTTTATATTTAAATTGAAATAAACAACTATAGCTTTGTATTAAAATTGATTTTTTCCAAAATAACATGTATAATTTTAGGAAAATGTTAAATATGCGTAAGGTTTCAGATATAGTGGACCATTTGGATCATATTCCACTTCGTCTAATACTAACAATAATATTGAGATTTGCAAAATTTAAAGAAAATTGAACAGGAATTTCAAATTTAATGCGATTAATTGTTAAACAATATATTAACCTTTTGTGGGGAGCAGAAGGAGTGAAGCGATATTTTCCATATTCGCCACAGATCTCTGACTGAGCGAAATGTTTAAATACTTCAAAAATCTCTTACTGGTTTCGCAAGTTATGAGTAAAATAAATATTATATAACTATTGGAAATCGAGACCTTTTGTGGGGATGTAGTACAACTATTGGAATATATGATTGTTGAAGAATATCCCCCTTTGTGGGCGAGGTACTAGAATGAGTTGTCCGATAATCACCATCTTCAAAACAAATATTGTGTTGGTGGAAATATTAGAATGTGTGAAATTAAGAATGAAACGATGGTTTTTTTGAATTTTTATGAACATATTGTTTATTTTCCCACCTGATGTAGGGCTGATACAAAACTGAATGATCGTTTCTTGTTCTATAAGATAAATTTGACCATTTATAGGAATGGTACCAGGAGGAGTGCACCGATATTACCCATTTGGTAAAAATATTACTATGTACCAAGTTTGGACCAAATCGAGATTAACGGTGCGCGCCAGCCAGACAGGTAGTCCGTCTACCACCTAGATCGACTGAAACGGATTTAGTCCAAAAAGATGGTTTGGCCGTATCTAATGATATATAGCCTCTGTAGCCATATAACTGAGGGTATAATTAAATACTTTGTATTGGACAAACGGAATGAGCTGGATTTCTGAAATTTGAAATGAGAGATCCTGATGAAGTTGAAAGTAGATGTAGTAAATATTTTTCTTTTTTTAAATTTGAACTTTAGGGTTACGTAAGTTAAAAAAAAAAGCTCATAAAATGGTTCCATTTGGTATTAGAGCTAAAAACTTGAAATTTGGTATGAAAATAAAAGGCTTTGGAAATGTGTACTAAGTGTGCGAACGGTACTAAATGGTACCATTGTACAGGAACAGTTTGGCTTAGGGTTAACTGATGAAGGTGGAATATTGAAATTTTGTATTTGGGGTCCCTTTTGGTGGTTGGTTAGTAATAAATAGGTGATTTTGGAAATAAGTACTACAAGTGCACGAAAATTACTAAATAGTACTATATTTGGTACAATTTGGTATTGAGTGAACATATAGTACTTGAAATCTTAAATTTAGTATCAGGGTTTCTGTTCATGTGTAGCCTGGACATATGAAGGTGGTTTCGGAAATGCGTACTATAATTATACAAAAGGTACTGAATGCTACAATATTTGGTACTGGGTGAAGGTATATATACAATTCTGAAATTTGACGTTTAGATTACTGATGGGACCTGTGTTTGAGAGTTGGCGGTGGTTTGGAAATGCGTTCTATATTAAAACGAAGAGTACTAAATTATATTCAAATTGGTATCCCGAAATTTGATATTGAACGGTTTGTGATAAAGAGGTGGTTTTGGAAATGAGTACTTCAAGTGCACGAAAAGTACTGTGTTTGGTACAAGTTGGTATTGGGTGAACAAAAAGTGCATGAAATCTGCAATATATAGTTATAATTGTGTTTGAAGGGTACTATATTTGGTATAGGGTGAAGGTTTGAAGATAAAATTCTGAAATTTGACGTTTAGATTATTGATGTTTGAGATTTGGCGGTGGTTTAGGAAATGTGAACTACAATTGTATGAAAAGCTAAAAATAGTACTAAATTGGGTGCAGTAATAGAGCTAAAACTTTAAATTTTGTATTCCGATAACTCTTGGTGTATATTACTGAGATATCGAACTGTTTTGCAAATGAGTAATAAAATAATAGGAAAAGTACAAAATGTAACTAGATTTGGTATTAAGTGAATGTATAAAGCTGAATCCCGAATGTTGATATTGAGGTCTCTTTTCGTATTTGATAGTGGTTTTGTAAATGCTTACTATAATTACCGTTACCAACAGATACCAAGAGAGACCTCAATATCAGAGATTTCAACGAAAAAAACCTTATTTAAAACATAAAACCTTTGTAAGACATGTCTTCATATTCAGTTTTATAATCCTCTTACTCTCTGACTTTCCTTTTTAACACTACAACTTGAGTAAAAAGGCCATATCGAAGAATAAATAAATAAAAGCCTTTTGATTTTCAAAACATTTTAAATCAATAATACTTTGTATTCCCTAAATGATGTCTGCTTTTGGCAATCTGTCGATTAAAAACGTGTTTACTGCTACGATTTAATTTTTTTCTACTTTTTTTAATTTTTACATTGCAGTGTGTTAAAGTTGGGAATAAAATCAATTGTTGATAAGTTAAGCAATATTCCAAACGATGATATATTTTTTCCTTCAATATTATATTTGGAATTGTCACTCCTCAGTGATGGTCAGGATAGTGGTCAATAGGATATGTGCTACATATCATCAGTTCTTTTTGTTTAAAATACTAAAATTAATTTAAATTTCAATTCGTTATATTTTTAGTATTTTTTGTATCTTCTTCTCAACCTATTTTTCTAATTTCAAATTACCTCAAAATTTATTTTATTTTTAAAACATTATGCGCAATAGAAACATTATTTAATGTTTATCATAAAATATTTTCAAACATGAAGCGAGAAGAAAATATTTGGCATATTATTGTTGTGATTAGTTTGCGTGTTCTTCTTGCCACTTTGTATTTTATAAATCATGTGATGTTCATATTTTGTTTGCATTTTGTTTTCCATGAAAAGAAAAATGGTAGTATATATGTCGATCTGCAGACATATTTATTATTTTTTTGTTTGTTTTCTTTTTCGTTTTGTGTTATGATCATCTTTATTTTTTATTTTTCCATATTTTGTTTTACCTCTTTTTACGTTGGCCAAAGCCTCAACAATTAATTTCTGATTGACGCCACACAAATTGGCCGTAAGACGTTCACATTTTTTGTGACAATTCACGTCACATTCTGGAAGAAAACAAAAGTCCCAACGATCCAAACGAAAAGGGGAGAGAGAAAAAAGAAAATATAAAATTTTCCAATCAGTACGAGGGGGGTTTTCTTCTGGGCGGTAGTGGTGGTTGTGTTCAGACAATTGGGTGATCACTGCTGCCACCGATTATCGTCGTCATCCACCCATACCCTGTTAGGTGTGTGTGTGTGGTTTTCTTTTTGATTCAGACAAATTATAGAAGAAATATTTAAATATACAAATAATGAATTAATTGAATACATGTTTTATTTTGTTGATTCGGGGATGTGTGGGGAATTTTCTTATTAATGTTTGTCTAAGTTTGTTGTTGATGTGGAAATCAACAAATAGCAGATTTTATGTTGTATTCTATTAGTTTATAAATAAAATATATACACAAAAATCTACACGAAGTAGTTTTATCTGAGTGATTTCCAAAAATAATAATGTAAAAAGTAATGTTTAGATAAAAATTTATTTTTTTTATAGATTTTTTATCCTAAATTTTAGCTGATATTTTATAACAGAATCGTCGATTTTCTCATATTTTCCATTGAAATTTGTGAATAATTTAATATTTTGAGTTTCTTATGAGTAATTTTTGTTCTTACCAAAAAAACTGCAGTACAGATAGGTAGGTATACGTTATGCTATTGTTATTACACTAAATTTTAAATATATAAAATGTTTTTACGTGTTTTTCAAGGAGCTAGTCCCTAATTTGGTACTTTGAGATTTTCTTCGGAACTATAGGTTATGGTTTTTATAATCTATCTGTATATATCTACTGACTGACTGAGAATCAACACCCTGACGTAACGGCTGAGGCTTTTTTTTTGGTGCGTAGGCGTGTAATAAGGCTAGGTTTTGTGTCGGACAAACGGAATGAGCTAAAATTCAGGACGAGAGTTATTAATGGAATGTAGGATAGATGTACAAACGAGTTTTTGGACATTCGAACTTTAAGGTTACGAAAATCGATACTAATCTTTGGTATTATGTGAACGGATAGATCTAAATACCTGAAGTTTGGTTAAAGAATCATAGTTGGAAAGTAAGTTTGATATATGAAGTCAGTTTTGGAAAAGTGTACTAAGTGTGCGAACTGTAGTTAATGGCACTAAATATGGAAGAGTTTAATGTAGGATGAACGAATGAAGCTGAAATTTTGAAATTTTATTTTGGGTTCTTGTTGGTGGTAGGTTTGTGATAAAGAGGTGGTTTTGGAAATGTGTGCTACAAGTGCACGCAAAGTACTAAATTGTACTATATTTGGTAAAATTTGTTATTTTGTGAACATATAGTGCTTGAAATCTGAAATGTGGTATTAGGGTCTCTGTTCATGTGTAGCCTGGACATATGGA